CCAGTGCAGAGTAGTGAGTTTAGCCTTGCAATAAAAGCTTATGAGGCCACTCTTGTGTCTGTTAAAGCAAAAGGACAACAGAATCACACAGTTTTACAGAGTTACTAAATTTCAGTCTGACTGAGAATATGAACTGACAACCTTCAAGCCATAAGCCCAGTTCTCACAGGCAAGTCAATGGCTGCAGCAACAAGTGTTTTCACAGAGTCTTCACTACAAAATCCATCAACACCAGTTTCCAAGTGCCAAGTAAACATCCAAGAAGGACTATGGTTAGCTACATCCATATACTGACACCTAGTGTATCATTGTGGTTACTGCAAGTAATAGCAAGTGACAGTACAGTGACAATACAGGCTCATTTTAAACAGCTATTGTCTGCAATTCCACAGTGTCTGTAAAAAAGGGAACAACAATCATCTGCTCCATCTGATCTAAAGCTTCATCAACAAATCTACGACAGGGACACGACACAGATATGCCACGAAGTAAACAGGGTGATGGCACAGGGATACAGATGTTGATTGTGATAGGAGATAGCAGTGACGATGATGTAATTGTCTGCTGTGTTTGTGTGTTGTTTATGTATTTATGTGGGTGTGCTCGTGTGAATGCAACCTGCTATCTCGCTGTGTCTGCTGGTACAGTGTGAGGGCTATTTGGTCTAGCAAGGCAGATAAGAGGGCGATACTGAGGCCGGTGGGTGCGCTGGCTATCTGCCTCCAAGCTGCCAACGTAACAGGGTCACTCAGGTGCACTCTGTGGGGACAAGTGGAGGAGCGGAATAGGAGGAGATAAAGTACGAGAGGACAGAAAGGGTGGAGAAGAGGGAGGTGAAATGACGAGGGAACAAAAGAGGAGGAGGAGATGGAGTGGACAAAGGACAGAAAGAGGGGTCAGCAGAGGAGACAGACACTGTGCAGAGAGAGACGTGCTGCTGTTCATGCTGTCATGCACTTATCAAGATTTATACAGCTTAGAGCGTGACAGTGTACTCTGTATGTGTGCACATGTATGTGTAAAATCCAGGTATTGCTGAGCTTTGAGCATGCTCACACTCCACGTGTGTCAGTGTATGCATGTGTACGTGTGTGTGTGTGTGTGTGTGTGTGTGTGCAGCTTAGGATTCGTGCATGTGTGAACTTTGCCCACTCCCCTCGCTTCTGTGGGGCTCCAGGTTTCGCCTGGTGGGTGGGATAAAACACCCACAATGCCGATTGTTTTCACAGCACACACACAGAGGATCAGGCCAGCGTGGCACACTGGCACCAGATATTATCATGTGTGCCGCTGCTGTTTTTGGTTTCATTCTGATTTCCTTTTTACAAAGATGGTATGCCTAATCCCCACATGTCAACCTGACTCTGGAGACTTCCAGAGAAGAAAATCAACACTGGAGTCTAACTTGTCAAATAACAGTTACAGCAACAACAGACCCTTCCAAATGTGCTCTTATGTAAAGTCACAACTGTCACAATAATACACAATAACTGTTTTAATAAAAATCTCTTTGAGGTATTTTGATGGATGTGCATGTTCTGATGTAGAGTGCACTGAAAGACTAGTGAATATTTAAAAGACAATCTATATTCTAACAGAGCAAGTATTGCCTTAAAACAGCTGATCCAAGCCCAGATATGAAACTCAGTTTGGGCCCACAATGGCCTTAAATTCTAGCTAGAACCAGACAAATCTATACAGCTATCTGCTGATAAAATAAGACAACATTTGAAAGATGACTATTAGTCCTTTCATACAAATGAATGAACAAACCATTGGTTTCTATCAATCAAAAATTAGTAGAAGATGTCTGACAGTGCAACAAGTAACAATCTGATCTGCTGACAACTTTCCAAACTTCCCTAATATGTCAAACCAACCAACATATGTAAAATGACACATGATCTAGTCCTGCACATCATAAAATGAGGAGCAATCAAATTACACAAAAGATTAACTTCAAGGTAGGGCCAGGGCAATATGGCCAAAAAATAAAATCTCCAATTTTTTACATCACACCCAATTTACGATTTTATTTCTACACTACAAAAGACACCATATCGTTGGCAATGTGAAACACAACTGTATCTGTAATGTCTTATCCCTGGGGCACCTTCTTCTCATATGGGATACTATTGGAAAATGATTCTACACGTTCTGTGTAGATGAGTGAATTGAGTGGACTTTACAGAGTCCGTAGCAGTTGTATATCGCCACATTATTCTGCATTGTTTTAAAACATAAATTCAAATTAATCAATGTACTGCCCAGCTCTACTTCAAGGTCACAGTGTTCTTTTAATTGCCCCTCAATCATAGATGTGTCTATTCTTGATATTTCACTAAATATAACAGGTGGCATCATTTCTAGATTTTCTCAGGGGAAAATTGCAGCTCTCTGGACCGAGTCTTTGAGGACATTTACTTTGCAATTGAATTCCAGTATTTAAATTTCAAAACTTTTTAACAACCTTAAACATGAAATTAGAATTTCACAGTGGGAGTGAAATACAGAAAGCAACCAATAGGCTTCATATTTTGTTCTGTCTGGGCCTTAAAACAACATTCTTTTTTTTTAGCTTGTTGTGGCAAATGTGTTAACAAATAGTTGCTATTTACACATGCAGCAGACATGGAGCAACATCATTGTATATTATTATGTCTATATAATAATAATAATAATAATAATAATAATAATAGGCCACTACCAGATAGTTACTTACTTTACTACCATAACTAACTACCTGCCCAGCCCTTTTGGTGCTGGCAGCATGCAGTGGGTTTATCACATAGTAAAGTTACAGGCTGTAAAACCAAAGTAATAAGTTAAAAGTGAACTGAAAACTTGAGTGATAGTTCTCTGTGACTTCAATATTGTCAATATAAGAGTATTGATAAGTGGAGCTTTTAAAAAAAATGTTCAGGCCTGGAAAACATTTTAACGTTTTAATTCATCTGATCCATTTAAAGGACCAGTGTGTAAGATTTAGTAGTATCTAGTGGTGTAGTTGCAGAATGCAACCATGAAAGTGGCTGCAAAACAAGTGGAAAGGGCTAACAGTCCAATCTAGAGCCAGTGTTTGGTTTGTCCGTTTTGGGCTACTGTAGAAACATGCAGGTTCAACTTGGCGGCCTCCATGGGAGGCGACCTGAGGCGTCTGTACATATAAAAGGTTCATTCCAAGGTTCCTGAAAACATAGTGATTCTTATTTTCAGGTGATTATAAACTAATGAAAACATACCTATCAATATTATATTCAATTTCTGCCAAAAGATACACACTGGACCTTTAATCCATTACTTCATCTGGAATTCATTGGAATTGCAACCTTGATTGTGTAACGTAGTTGCATGTAGAAAAAAACACTACATACAAAACACAATTAACATTTAACTGACAGTACTTAATTAACCATTTTTCTTGCTGGCTGCTAGCTATAAACAATCATTGTTAAGAGGATACCAATCTTCCCTCACTTACGTGGGCAAAGGATTAAAGGTTTCTAGATGATGAAACTAGATCATGAAAATAAGTGGACCAGAGCATATATTTTAAGGCCCTCCCGATCAATCTAATATACTCACAGTGTGATCATTCAACACTATGCCAGCCAACAGACAGACGTGAGCACCTGTTTGTCCCATATTGACACCCATGACAGACACAAGCACATACCACACAGAGGGGTAAAAATGTAACTGGAGCTGAGAGGAAGGCTGCCAGGCTGTGGCAGCTGCTTCAAACAGCTCTGGATCAGGCTTTCACACACAGAGCCTTTTGAGGAGGGAAGCGTCCGTGTCAGCCCCTGTCACTGGCAGGTGGAGGCACGAAAAGCAAGGACAGTTTTGATGCTTTGAATGGAAAATTGGTGGTAGATTGGGTTAATTTAGGGCCATTAGTTTGAAAAAACACAACAGCAGGATGTTGGACAAAAAAGATGATATTATTATGATATGATATTGTTGTGTTTCACATGGCAGAGACTGAGACCGGGAAATAATTGATATGAACCTGAATAGTTCAACTTATTTTAGAAAACGTAAAAATATTTACTTTAAATATTTTCTATCAAACTGCATACTATCTAACTTTTTTAAAAAAGCCCTAGAATTTCTAATGAGTTAAACAGTAATTGTATTGGCATTAAAATTAACATAATTCACACCTTGTTGTTAACTTCATCCCTCTCTTGCACTTATAATAAATTATTCCACAGGGACATAGAAGGTATGTTGTTTATTTGTGTTAGTGATGTCATATAAATTGACATTGGGAATTCCCTGCAAAAAGTCAGAGGTCAGAGGCACCTGCAGAACAGCAGCCCTGCTACTTACTTTAGGCTCCCACCATACTTGATAGGTATACATACGTGATAACTGGACAAGCTCCACTGTGTATGTCATGACATCAGAGACTTTAGTTGTCCACCAATATCTCAAAATTTAATCCCACTCATCCATCCAGTAAATACAGTAAATGTGTGCCTTTGTTTCCATTACTGTTATCTCATTCATTCTTATCTCAGTGTTTTATTAACAATAAATTGATTAAATTATGTCAATTCTCAAAATGTTGTCTTATTTCAATGTTACAATATGATCATGTTTGTAGGTTTGACTATTGGTGCCTTTAGATATTGCTTAATCTAAACCATGGGTTTGTTGTCTGAGATTTAAAGTAGTCATATTAGTAATTATATTAGTAATAAGCGCAACAGCTGAGGGGAAGGCCAGGGTATTCTCATAACAAAGTCTGTTAAAGAGAAGGGCGAAATGCGACAATGGGGGATAAAGACACACATTTTAGGACGATCATTCATCGAAGACATTCATAATGTTACATTTGTTCGTACATACAAAAAGTGAGGGAAGCAATTGTGTGAAGAATGAAAGAAGTTGAGTAGACCCAGCTAATCGCTGTGTGAAGTGTGAATGCTTGTCAAATTGTGAGTTTTGGAAAGTTAAAGAAGTTGTTTGACACGGCACCCTACAACACTAACCTTGGAAAGGTGTGGAGGGAGGGGTTGTCAAGACACTCTTCCACCGTCTGACAAGCACTTCAGTTGAAGCATACTGACACCTTAGGTGTTTGTTTCACTGCACCAGAAAAGTAAAAAAAAAAAACTTAAGTACAATGCTCAGCCTAAATCTTATATCTGGACTCACACAATGATAATGACTTACAACTCTACATCATTTTGTTATTTGTCAATCTGACTACATGGCCTTGCTGTCTACAAATAACCCCAAAATACTGTCATTACAAAGGCAATAGGAAAGTTAAAAAAAGCAGTTAAAATAGGCCATGATGCTCATCCCACAAACACCAACACTTAAGAAGAATCTGTTTCAACCATAATATCCTTTGGCACAGTGTGCTAACCCTGCAGACAGTCAGCCAAGCGAGCCTACGGTGAGACCACAGTCTGACGCCAGCCAGGTGTAACACCATCTCCACTCTTTTTGTTCAAGTCATGTAATGAGCCTGTAATGAGGCCATGAAATATTGATAACCACGCTCGGCTAACACTGGGCCTCTATAGGGGTCCTCTCAACTCAAAACAAGATAGTAGAAAGAAACACTTTACTCCTCCCTTGCTGAAGAACTAAAGATGAGGAGGAGATCTTGAAAACAACAGGGTCAAAATCTTAATGTGCAAACAGATTTTGTGATGCTTGCAGTGGATTAATTACAGGCTGAGGGTAACATTAAACCCACAATTTAATTGGGGTTGGAACAATAAAGAGATACTGGAAGTCTTTCACTTAGTACAGCTATTTTAAAATGCTTCAAGTCATTTATTGTGCTTCTGGGAAACTGAGCCTCTGGTTGACATTTGCACACCTTTTAAAAACATCACCCCCTTAACAGCCAAACAGGAAAAGCAAGAAGCATTAAAATGAAATCAAGAGTGGAGTCTTATATCCTTTGACTGCTAACACCACCACGCAATGTATCATTCACACACATACAAAGAGGGAGGGAGGAAAACAGACAGACAGACAGACAGACAGACGGAGAGGGTGAGAAAGAGTAGAGACAGGTTGCTATCATCAACTTACCCTGGTTATGTCAGCGACGAAAACTGATAAAGTTGTTGTGCTCTCTCCTGCTATTCTATCTTAACGTTAACAGTAACTACCAAACTTAAAACATGCCTTTCACTGCAAACATTAATAGTTAGTTAACGTTACCTAGCCATTTTCGTTTGATGAGGATACCAGGTGAACGGTTCGCTCCGGGTAAAGTTAGTTAACATTATCTAAACTTAACATCCTGCTTAGCACCTTTTAAGAAGATTTGACCAGTCTCATTGGTATGGATATGTTATCTAAACGGCATTAGTCGCTGTTCTCATCATCTACTGAGTTATACGTTGGTCTTCTGTCTATCTTACTAATGAGTAACGTTAGCTGAGCTACAGTAAGTAATAAATAGTGCTCTCGATGCTAGCTGGCTCTTTGCTGCCACTGGATTCAGGTCGCTAAGCAACAACAAGCGGTACTTTAAAGGCTATGCTAAGCAGCTAACAGTTAGCTCATTGACGACCCAGTAGCAGCCTGTATGTCCTCCGGCGAGCTCATTGAATAGCGATATCCTGTAGATCCTGTGTGTACAGCGTAGGTTATAGTAGTGTTACTGATAGCGACGCTTTTAAACTATCTACAGTATAACTTGTTGAGACTAGTTTTATTGTTTTTGATAAAGGACTACAGTGTCTATAACAAAAACTACAATTACCTGGATCTTCAGTCTGCCGTCAGACTGCTACAAGTGTCGTGATCAACTGAGGACTTAAATAGGAGTGACCTCTGGGTTTGGAGAGAAGTGGGAGAGACAGGCTGACCAAAGCTATCGTGCGGACATGGTGAGTAGAGCGAGAGTATATCGATTATCCTTTCTCAATAACGCATTGTAACGCGGATGACACCGCAGTTATGCCAATTGATTCAACAGGCGATTTACTAAGTTTCGCTAAGTTGGTCAAAGTTTGCTATGTAAACATATTTAAATGACACTTAAATACAGCAGTATCGTTATTGCTCGCGGCGTGGCGTAACCAACCCCTTAGGACTTACACATTGACGTAACGTAACGCCTTTGTAATTTGCTGCTGAGCAAGTTTGATTTTTTTTTTGGGGGGGGGTTTGAATGAATGCTATTTAGTGAATGGTAAAGATGGCGATGAACCTGATAACCTAAGTATATCCTGGTTTTGTTATGTAACAGTGAGTCCTGTGTGGAGGGCAGGCAGTCTATTTTTGAACTGACCCCTTGCTTTAGTAAATCCTGTTGACAAGAATAGACACCCAACCCACGTGCAGTGGACAATTAACCTGTCACTTTCATACCTGTCCTCTTCCTGAAATCAATGCTAATAGTACTAACCGCTGTGTTGTTTGCCTTGTGTCTTGCAGTCTGAGCCTATTAGAGTTCTGGTGACCGGCGCTGCTGGGCAGATTGCCTATTCTCTGTTGTTCAGCATTGCCAAGGGAGATGTCTTTGGCAAAGATCAGGTAAAGGAGGGGTTTGTCTTGCTCACATAACACTCAATTCCCTTATCTCATTAGGCAGTGTAAGGGCAGCACCACAAGACATGCATAGGACACTGACAACTCCCAGTAAACAGCTGTGAATATCACAAGTTTTCCAGGTCATATTTGGGGGTGACACTGAACAGATGTTGTCCCTGTGGGGATTGATCAGATTGCACTCGCTTGTGCATGTGCCCAGGGACGAGCTGGGATTGTCCTTGAAGTCTACGAAATCTTGTGCCAAGAGTCTTAGGCCAACTTTAAAACCACTTGACCCATTTGGCACAGGCCATAGTCAGTGAGCCAAATGGCTTAGGCCTTCACTCTCTGTTCCAGAGACGAGTAAGTCCCCTACTGTCGTGTCATTATACATGGGAATTATGATTTAAGTGAATTTAAATTCAGTTCAGCATGTTTTATTCATTTCATACTCCTCATCCCACGGCTTACTTCCTTCCCTCCTCCCTCTATCAGCCAGTCATCTTGCTCCTTTTGGACATTACGCCCATGTTGCCAGTCCTGGATGGTGTTGTCATGGAGCTACAGGACTGTGCCCTCCCACTTCTGAGAGGTAACTATTTATGGGTGGGACAAATAATTGACACTAAAATAACCTGTTATATTGACTGTATATGTAATTTTTACACTGGCATCAAATATGAGTCTTTCTTGAACATATAGTCTATTGATTTTACCTACAATTGTTTAGAGTTAAATTCAATTATTATACACTGAAAATATTTTATTTGATCTGAAGCAGAGATGTATTCTTGGTTTTAAAGCTGATGCTTTGCAGAAGGTCTGCCTTTGCCAGTTTATAGCTCTTTTTCCATTTTATTGATGGCATGTAAAAAGGTAGAGTGTACACACACTGAAACCACTTAATTAATCCTTTGTGTGCACAGTGTTTCCTGCTCATTATAATGTAACACCTTTTTTATGACTAAGTCATATTAATGTTATGAGTTACCCCATGATACCCACCCCCAGTAACCATACTGGCCTCTGTCCAAAGCATTTGCCATCATCATGCCAGAATCTTTTGCATACAATAAAGACCTCTGTGTAGTTTGCAGATTTCCGGAACCTCGAAATGTAGATACAAGGAGATGTTGGGGTAAAGATATAGTGGACAGCTTTATTTGAAGTGCTTTACATTTATGAATGGATACAACTTCTGCATGGCTGGGCCAGGGAAGGATACATTTCTACTCTGGCAGTTTTAGCTCATTGCTACCAAGTGAACACACACTTGGTGGAGGGAGCCAGGACTGTATTTATCAAGCATCTCAAAGTCGCCCCTATGAGTTTTTTTTTTATTTTTTACAAAAATTGTGCACCATTTGGCCAGAACACACCAGACAGATTATACATGCATGACAACATTTATTTTAAATTATTACACAATCATAGTTGCTGCATTGCAAATGATAAATATTGCATTGCTCTGTTTTCAATTAAGTGTAAATTGTAAGGTCTTGTTTTTTGCATCACAGGTACAGTTTTATAGATAGAGTTGTCAGCCAGGACGGCCATAAGATTTTTGAATCAGCCATTAGAAACCTGTTGTTATTTTAAATCACGACTCTACTTTATATATTTCTACACATCCCAGAATATCATTCACCTCCTGTTGGGAGCTTCTAACAGTTTTGGACAGCTCTTCTTGGTGTTGGAGAAGACGGAGACATTTTCATTGGTTTGGACGTCATCAAAAATTAGTTTTTACGGCAGTTTGGACTTTTCAGTCTTTTTCATTTCCTTCTCTGAGACACCTGATGAATACGGGCGCTGGTTTCCATTCTGTTTTTTGGTGTCGTGTAACTGCTGTCATGACATCAGTCGTGAGGCGCCATTATGTGCCATCTCCATTGTGACCTGGAATTTTTCCTTTGAATTGGCGCTGTCCTTTGCTTTGTTTGGACAGGGGCTGTGAGAGGCCCCCGTATTAACAACTGTAGTGCAAAGACAACGCTTCATGCACTGAGATGGGCCCAGCCATACAAATACTGGTCACACACGGGACACATTTAAAATACATTTCTCCAAATTATATGTGTGTATGATTTAGAAAGGATGGAAAATGTTTATGTTGGGTTTTAAAGTATTTAAGATCGAAAATGTTCTAGTGATTAATTGTCAGATAGACCACATGGAGAGACTTACTCTGGTGTACTCTGGTGTAATTGTTTTAGAAAGTAGAAGAGAGGAAGTTTATTGTTCACATCAGGAATTCCACGAAACTACTATCTAGATATTTTATATATAAAATATAGTATATTAACCTTTTCAGCCAGCACCAGTACTGAATTCACTTTATCTTTCCACAGATATTATCCCCACTGACAAGGAGGAAGTGGCCTTCAAGGACCTGGATGCAGCCATTTTGGTGGGCTCCATGCCCAGGAAGGATGGCATGGAAAGAAAGGACCTGCTCAAAGCCAACGTGGCCATCTTCAAGAGCCAGGGAGCCGCCCTGGAGAAGTACGCCAAGAAGACCGTCAAGGTAATGACACACTACGCAGTTTAGACCCGCACAGACATGAAAATACGCTGAGATGTCCAATCCCCTCCTTTTTCTACTTGTCAAAGGCTGTTGAGTGAAACTATTCTGCTTCTGGCTAAGTTGCTTGTGTTACATTGCTTTCCTGGGTGTAGAAAATGTTACATTTGTGTTTGTGCTGGGTTGATTCCCATTGTTCAGAGCCCTGGTGTTTATTTTCTCAAGCTTAACCATATTGTGTTTTTCCTTTATGATATTAACAGTATTATACTTATTATTATTATTATTATTATTACATTTCACATTATTTACAATATTTAACAACAAAAACATGCTTCCCTCTGGTAAGAATAAGATACAAAACCTACAGCCAAGACAGCGATCCAGACCACATTGACTTAGATCAGATGAGTCACTGTGGTTTATTTTAGTGTGTGTGTGTGTGTGTGTGTGTGTGTGTGTGTGTGTGTGTGTGTGTGTGTGTGTGTGTGTGTGTGTGTGTGTGTGTGTGTGTGTGTGTGTGTGTGTGTGTGTGTGTGTGTGTGTGTGTGTGTGTGTGTGTTTTTAGGTGCTGGTTGTGGGAAACCCTGCCAACACCAACTGTCTGATTGCAGCCAAGTCTGCTCCCTCCATCCCCAAAGAGAACTTCTCCTGCCTCACTCGTCTGGACCACAACAGGGCTCGCTCCCAGGTGCGCTCCTTTTTAGACTCTTGTTTGTTCTTGCAGTTGTGTTCACACTTTTCTTTACATATTAGAGTTTGAAATTAGACTCACAGACTTTTAGCTGCCACATTGTCAGTTCTTTGTCTGACCTAATTGTGAAACCTGAGTTTGGTGTCATTTATGCTCTGCTTCTGCAGGTGGCGATGCGCTGTGCCGTTCCTGCCACCCATGTGAGAAATGTGATCATCTGGGGCAACCACTCGTCCACCCAGTACCCAGACGTCCATCACTGCTTGGTCAACATGTCTGGTAGTGAGCTCGCCTGCTTTGATGCAGTCAAGGATGATGCCTGGCTTAAAGGGGATTTCATCGCTGTGAGTTAAAGAAGATGCATTGTAATCTATTGGACTGTGAGATACATTTTGCATGTATACACAGTTACTGTGTCAGCCATTCAGAAATGCATGATATGCAAAACTTATACTTAAATATTTTCACATTTTACTGAAAGGTGTTGCTGCTGCAGACATTTCAGCCGTTATCTCAAAACCTTGACAAATGGAACCAAATCTAGCTGCACTCAATAACACACGCTATCCCTATATGCTCAGTTCTTCTGCTCACATTCACTTTGACTGCCACTGCATTTTCATGTAATGCTCCATGTTCTTTTATTGCAGACAGTGCAGCAGAGAGGCGCTGCAGTCATCAAGGCCAGGAAGCTGTCCAGCGCCATGTCTGCAGCCAAGGCCATCTGTGACCACATGAGAGACATCTGGACAGGCACCGCTGATGTAAACGCCACATTCATTTACACTGTAGATATGATGTGGGAATGTCTGCCTGTTGCATTCTGTCAAGAAGTGCCAATAACTTTTTAAGCAACAATAGAAAGAGTGTATTTGTGTGTTTGTGTTCACAGAAGAATTTGAATCGTCAAACTACACATTTTTTTTATGTATCTGTCCCCGGGAGTTTGTAGCTCACAAGTACAGATACAGTCTGTGTTTGTACTTCTTGTATTCTTTTTTTCTGGAAGAAGGTTAAGTCAAGTCTTGTGACTGTGATTTCTGACAGGTCACATATGGTTCTGTGAAATGTAGTGTTTAATACTAATTTTATCATTGGTGATGATGAGATATCATATCCGTATAATAAGCAGGATTGTGTTTGTAATGTAGTTTTAACCAGTTTCTCTCTCTTTCTTTTTTTCAGGGTGAATTCATCTCCATGGGTGTTTACTCCTCTGGCAACTCGTATGGAGTCCCAGATGACCTCATCTATTCATTCCCTGTTCAGATCAAGGTGAGACTGATCTAACCTTGTGTTTACTCCTCTAGCAGCTTAAGTTAATGTTTTGAATTCAGCTAATAGCTAGCAATAAACTACACTGTGCTTGTCCTCCAAGGTTTGTATTCCACAATGCCAAACTTATGAAAGTATGCTGTTTCCTTAGGACAAGACCTGGAAGATTGTGGAGGGCCTGGCTATCAACAGCTTTTCCCAAACAAAGATGGATGCCACAGCAGCAGAGCTGATTGAGGAGAGAGACACAGCTGTGGCTTTCCTGGGAGTATGACTAGACCCTTCAAAGCCACCCAACCAGTACTTAGACAGCCCCAAAACTCCAGACGCACGCCTGTGATAAAGCACTCCACCAACCCCTGCATTACTCTTTGTGTGTGTGAGAGCGAGTGAGAGAGTGAGTTAGTGTTTATGAGTGTAAAGTTGGATTTATATTTGTGCGTTGGGAGGCTACAGCGTAGAAATGAGCCTGTGCACACCTTTTTCCAAAACTGTATAGCGGCTACAGAGATATCAACTGGAGACAGTGATTTGCTAGCTTGGGTTGCTTCTCTTTTGTTTCACAAACTCTCAGTACTGGGGGGGGCACCCTGGTAGCTCACCCTGTAGAGTGTGTACCACACATCAAGGCTGAGTCGTTACCGCGGTGGCCAGGGCAAGGTTCAAGTCTGGCCTGGGCCCTTTGCAGCATGTCCTCTCTCTTTCTGTCTCCCCTGTCTTTTCTGTCTCTCTCCCGTCACTGTCAGTAAAGGGGGGGAAATCACCAGATATACCCTGTGATCTGGCAAAGGCATTTGCACTACAAACCTTCTACTTGCTCTGATCTGCACTGTCTGTTACAAAGTGGGGGGGGAAAGAAGGTAATCAGGTTTACATTGGCTATAAGTGATTGCCCGACATTAGCTTCCATTCAGTAGACAACAGAGACTCCTACAGCAGGGCTGCTGTACACTGACGCACAAATATAACTCCAACTTAAGTAAACAGTATACTGAAAGTACACCAAATATGTTACCAGCTATTTACATACATTTTTATCTGGGGGTAAGTGAAACATGGATGGTTGTTACATAGTCAATTTCATTAAGTCTTCAAACACTGGAATGGATAACTTACAAAGATGAAACAATAAAAAAAAAATGAAACCATGTAGTTGTGTTTTCGTTGGTTTTATCTTACAGGCAATCAAATAGGCACAATGTAGTTGTTGTGTCTTAAACTACCATACTTTACATTTAGGCAGCACGTGGCCTTCATGGTTAGCACTGTCACCAGCCGGGCACTTCTGTGGATGTTCTTGATGTTATCTGTGTCGATATGCATGTAAATTGATGACTAAATTGGCCGTAGGTGAGAATGTTTTTCTATTATATAATATAATATATAGAATATACTTATGTTTCCATACAATATACAAGACTGACAACCTGTTGAGGGTTTACTCTGCTTCTCTCCCAGAGTGTGCAACTCTCGTCCCTCAGATGGATAGATGGATGGACAGACATATTTCCAGATTTTTTCCATAATGTTAGTATGTATGGTGGAAGGGTAGGGGGACAGATGTTTTAAAGTAGTCTTCCACTACATTGCACAGTTAGTCCTATAGGTGTAGAAAATAATACCAAGTTGTGTAGTTGACAGTCGTAACACTGGACTGCATGGTAATGAGAAGTCATTTCCAGCCAAAATATCTGAATGGATACATTCATTTGTGTCTTTTATTTAAACAACAGGATCAGATTACACAGAATCATACCAGATAGAAATGTTGTTACCTGTATTCTCCCAGCTCTGGTGAAAGGCATCTGCAAACAGAGGAGTAAAATACTTAGAAGCTGCATTACAGCGCAATATCACAGTTTCACCAGGAAGGGGCAGTATTTGCTAGTTTACTGCCCCTTCCCAGCAGCATCAGCATGAGGAATGATTATGTAACATCTGTAATTAACTTAAATTCACAATGTGTCATCATTAATAAGAAGAAAAACCGGCAAACCAATTAAACTGACAACAACTCTAGCAGAAAGATTCACTATTCCCACCTTAATGGAGAAAATGTGATGTATCTAGTGGGATGTTGAATGCTGCCCAGCCGGTGTGATAGTACTCAGTTCAATGTACGGATGTACTTTAAAAACTAACCAGTACTTTGGGTATATGCACGTAGCGTAGGGCTTTTGAGTATTTTATATTTCCAAATATTTCGATCTTTCTTTAACCCGGAACTGTCAGAAACCGTATCGCACGTCGCAGAAATATATTGGCAGCCAACGTTGCGTCACAAGAAAACAGGCTTCCTATTGGCTGCCATCCTCCTGCAACGTCCTCATTCGCCCCTTCCAGGAATGGCTCTGTAGTGCAAAATGTCTTCAAACTAATCACCTTTTTAAGTTCTTTATTTTTTACCTTGTTGTGATTTTTATTCGGCGATTTCGACAGGAAACAGAAGCCCAGTGTTTTAAGGTGAAAACCTGTGAAAAAAACAAACAAACCCCAAACACATATTGTGCGTACCCCACTGTCTCCTCTGAGGGATTGCTGTGGTCCTTCAGACCCGCAGGACCAGGCCGACCCCGTGGACTTTTCTTCCGCCAGCATCCTACAGTCACACAGTAAGAACATGTCTTTAAATCGCTTTGTCTCTTCACATTATCCCGTTTCCGAAGAAGCGAGGGGTGCCGAGGGTCGTATCTTCAAGTTAGCTTACAGCCCACCGGGGTATCTTTAGACGTTTATCCTCATGAGGTGTTCACGGCACCACCGTTGACTTGAGTTGTCTTCGTGTTTCTTAAAGCTGTAAAGTGTAGCCAGCGCTGATATTCGGTATTTGTTGAATACACACCGTCCCCTTCTGTCCATGCACACATCAGTCGTTCACTTCCGCAGCCTGAACTCTCTGAAGTTCCCCGTCGGGCAGGTAATGCTTGTGGACTCACAGGGGTGAATCTCACCGGTTAATAATTGACGGTGTAAGCGGACTCTGTCGTTAAAGAAAGGGGTCTGCAAATCTCCGAGTGTTTGGCAATAAGGTAATAAAAATGAAAGCAGGGGGCGAGGCAAAAGGGAAAACATGAGCAGAGGTTGGGAGTCAGAACCAGGATTTGTGACGTGGTTTACGGTATTGGGGCTGGAGAATGAGAGGCAGACACCGCCAGCAATAAAAGATCCTGCTACAGATCCTCTCCGGCTTCATGTGCAGGGACGACGTTTGGTTGCTGTCCGGAGAGATACGTGTGACTGGATCAATGTGTCCTTGTCGTTTTTTTGTGCTCTCTCTTTTTTTTTAACGAGTACGTGAGGTAGACAGGAAGTCTCATGCTGCAGAGTCTCAGCTGTGAAAGGACTGGCTTTAGGGATACCTCAAGGAAACTTTTTTTAATTCATTTACGGAATGTGTGTTCAGTGACACTTCGGGTTTCACGGTGAATGCTCTCTGGAATATTTAATTTGAAGCTCTGTTGTTTTTGGATTTATCTTTTTTTTAATTTTCATTTAACCGTATGTATTTCTGAACCTGTCGATACTTGGCAGCTGAAACATGACACTTTATGTAGAAGGTAAGTAGTGATGTGGAGGGTATATTCAAATCTTAACATTACATATACATGGAAATGAATTAGTCGGATTAAAGGACCCTACCTGTGTTTTTTTTTTTTTTTTTTTAACTTTTTTTATTTCCTAAACCGTCCACATTAATGGCAAACATTTCCCAGCCAAACACATTTTCTAATATTTTTAACCTACCTTTATAGGCATTTTTAAGATGTATTCATCTTACTGCCTTCCATGCAAACACTGGTTTACATTCATTTCAATACATTATAAAAGATTATTAATTAAAGGCTTTGAGTTTGTCTCACATATCGGCTGATCCATCTTGTGATGTTTGGTCAGATTTGATCAACTACATACTGTATCTCTTCAATCCATTGGAGATGATGTAGTGAAATCTAAATTCTTAAATGAACACACCATGCTGGACCTGACTAACTACATTCAAATATTTGTGACTCAAAAAAAAAAGTATTGAATGCACCTTTTTATAGAGGCAGTCGAGTGGGAGTTTCTGGTCAAAGTTGTATTTTCGTCATACATTTCCTGTTACATGCTCTGTTTATGATGTCTTATAAGCAGCCAGCCTGCCAGTAACTTACACTTTACTGCTATGAATACAGCATTCAGCCCTCTAGATAAAGCAAATGTACCAGTTAATTATTTCCTTAATTCTGAAACCACTTGACTATTGCTTTTAGATGTTAAGGATAGAACAGGACCTCCATTAAATGGATTATGTGGTAGCAGTTGCAAACGTGATTGATACAGCTGTCACAATCTAGGAAACTGATGGGCATTTGTGATTACTTCTACATGTTATAGACTAAACAATTAATTGATTATTTAAAGGTCCAGTGTGTAACATTTAGGAGGATCTATTGGCAGAAATATAATATAATATTCATATGTTTTAATGTCAACATGTTTTAATTAGTGTATAATCACTGGAATACAGGTATACAGTTTTAGTTACCTTAGAATGAGCTCTTTCATCCACATTGAACCACCATGTTTCTACAGTAGCCCAGAACTGACAAACCAAACACTAGCTGTACAAAGGCCCTTTGACATTTGTCACAAGTTTCAAAGTCACCGTAATTTCTCCTACACTGTTCGCAGGCTGCTCTCATTCCCAGGTCATCAAATACAGACGCGACCGATGTTCAGTTAGTTGCAATCTGCAGCTTCACTGCTAGATGACACTAAATCCTCCACACTGGAACTTTTTAATTTAGTTGATCCATTAAGTAATAGAATAAAGGATACAGCTTCTCAAATGCTTTTAATAATCTATTGATCATGGGTCATCTAGACCTACCACAGCAGTTAGCTGTTTTTTATGGGCCCTTGATGACAAAAACAGAATTTAAACTCTTACTGTCTACATCAGGAGCTTAACCAGGACTTCTGAAATACTTTTACATTAGCAATCCTTACTGTTTCCTTCTTCTGCCGTTGCCAATCAGTGGTCACGTGGTATTTGTCTCGTCTCATTTTACTAGTAAGGTTAGTTTCCTGTTGTCATTTTTATCTGTGTGCTCGAAGCACTGAATTATTCGGTAGGTGGTACTGACAGTAAAAACATTAAAGCATTAAATACCACGCTCAAGGTCTCTCACACTCTCCCTCTCCTATCGCTAGAATATTTTTACCTTTTTAAAAATTGCAGATAAAGCCTTTCTCTCAATATCATCCAACATCATGCAGTATGTCTGTCTATCAGTGGTCTTATTATTGTATAATAGCATGATATTCAACATTTCACTCATTACCCTTTAAAGGCAACCAGACTTATTTTGTGTTTTTGATCATAGGAACATTTAGGTCTAATCAAAACCTGAATCTATAACACCACAGAAAACCGAACAGGCTCATCAGGTTTTGTCTCATGTGACTTTGAACTTGATTATTACTCACTTTCAGATGAATGTGTCACATTTATATTTCCAAGCAGTGAATCTGTTCGTGGTAGTTGGCTTGTTTACAGATATAATTATTCAGAGATTACATGTTGGCACAGCTGTGGTAACTTCAGAGCAGTTCAACGTTTATGCTTTTGCTTGCTTTAATTCTTATCTTTAGTTTTTCTTTTTAGGCCAACACTTGTATTGACATCTAAGATTTGCAAAGAGCTGATAGTAAAAACACACATCATAGACCATTTTACAGATAAGGATGCCTTAAATGTTGAAAATTTGAAGATTTAATTTGACTGACCTTGTGGACAAACTGGAATGGCGACCCTGTTTCTTAACTACCCTAAACATATCTTTGTCATTTTTGTACTGCAATGATCTAATGATGCTAATATGTATTGTTTTAATAGATGTAAACTAGACTAAAAACCTCTCTTAAGAAACTCAAATGTGCCTCTGAGATACACATCCATAATCAATGTCACAAACAGCTATTTGGGTTTTTACTTTTCCTGTTTCTCCAGTTTGTAAGCTTATCTATGTTTTAAAATGTAACTCATGCAATATTTATGTGTTACACACACTGCCATTATCTTGAGGGCGTTGTTGCTCGTGAACAGATGCTAAAATTATCCTATACATCAGTTACATCACCATTAATTAAAAAAGAATGACCCTCTTAAGTATTATTGTGTTATTTCCTGCAATGTAGTAATATGCATACTGACAAATACTGCTCTTATACATATAATACTACCATGACATGAGAATTCTACATCTTCACTAAGGTGAGATGATAAATCAGGCTATTGAAAATGTCGTTAAGGGTGCAACTAGCATTTATTTTTATTGTTGATTAATCTGTTGATTATTTTATCAATTAATTGATACGTTGTTTGGCCCTTAAAATGTCAGAAAACAATGAAAAAGATGATCACAATATAATAAAGCTCAAGCTTACGTCATCCATTGTCCCATAATGTCCGACAAACAGTCCAAAAGCCAAACGTTTTACATTTACAGTTGTGTAAGATGAAGAAAAGCTGCAAATTCTCGCATTAAGGAGCCCAAAACTATCAACTGATTCGTTGATTATCCAACAATTGCCATATTTTGATTAATTCATCTTTGCATCTCTGGATTACATTTTATGTACTATTGTGGTTGTGTACTTTTGATTTTTCTAGGAGAATATCAGACATTCAGTAATCCGGTACACAAAAAAGCACTTTTATAGCTTTATTTAGTGGCAGACAGGGCTAAAACAGATGGCTTGAGTTAATAAGACGAGTAAAGGTGGGCATTAGGAACATTTCGAGGATCCAGAATATGTTTGTGAAGTATGTCGTAGCAGTGTAAAACCTTGTCCCCCATCTTCCACTATCTTGCCTGTCCAGGTCTGAGTAAAGGAGTGGCCAAAGGAGGGATGGCTCAGTTCCAGGAAATGATGCGGCAGCAGCTGGAGAGCTCCATGCACACCGAGCTGGAGAAACTGCTGGACACCACCACAGGCGAGGCGGAGAGAGAGGTACTCTATCTCTCCCTCCCTCTCTTTCTCTCTGACCATCTGGTTGTGATTTAGAGGGTGGTTGGGTCACTCACTCACAAACACTGGGAAAACACAAAAGTGACACATACTGTAGCACAGTGCCAACGAGGGGTTCCACATACATGCTTACAGACGCACACACACACACACACACACACACGCATAAAGTATGCGTCATAAAATTGCAGTAGTGGAGACTTTTGAGCAAACATTCATCCATTTCGTCAGCCTGAATCAGAATATAATGCGTCATTAGAGACTTCCAGCCCAACTGAAACCCTGTAGATTTGTCCTGTTGGGACAAAATGAAGTCTGGTGTTGGGAGTGGACACATCTCAGCCTACATCATACAATTAAATAAAAAACCGGTCCCATAAAAAGCAGCAAACAAGCTAGACTGACCATTATTTAATCTGTGTTCTTTGAGTTTCCTTTGGTTGAATGAACACACACACACACGCTCTTTCAGACATTAACCAGGCACTCTCAAACCACCAGCAATCACAAAAGATGTGATGATACACACACACACAGAGTAAAAACGTCAGCCTGTCGACACAGGCGTGGCGATTACTTCCTACTCACTCTCACTCAAGGGTGTTCTTAGTAAACACTATTGTATTCGCAGTAAGCATTAACAGCCATGTGCACACGTCTGTAGAGTACACACACAAATTCTAAGTTACAAACTGGTTGAACTGGGTGTTAATGGATGTCAGCGTGAATAGTTATTTATTTCTTTATTTTTTTATACATATTTGAAATAAATGATTTACGTGTTTCTCAACTTTAAACTGCATCTTAAATATTGAAATACCATTTGTCATTTTTCACATTAAAAACTAATAACAAAACCAAGAATGCAAATCACTAAATTATGGAGATAAGATATTACAAATAAATCATTAAAGGGGTTTGTGAAATCATCTTGTGTTTCCCATTTTACTGCATAATCTGGTAGCTACACTTTACTTTATAGTATTTATGGTTATATACATATACATATATCAAGGAATCAATTATACAACACAAGGTTGTATAGAAAAATTAATGTTTGTAGTGCCTTCATGTTATATACATTGAAAAAGATGATATGCCAACATAAAAAATAAATATCACATAAACATACAAACCCGCACTTGGAAATGATTATTGTCCCAGCTGAACAAAGGTAGTTCTGTAATTGCTGATCCATATTATCAAACATGCTGAAGTATAGTAGAGCTTGCTTCTCATATTGCTTAGTGCATCCGTTTCATTGTATAATTTATCACTCAGTAAACATACATGTTTAGCTGCAGCGACTGCTTCAGCAAATAGAAGTTTATCCTCATGTGTGATTACATATAACCAAAACCACATTTATGTTTTAAATGCTTTCAGGTCATTTTTTTTTTTACCATTTATTACTTCCCTTAAGTGACGCAGTAGAAGTTTCATATATAATATATAATTTTATATATAAACTTTATGTGTAACATGAACATTCTCCCAAGGCTACTGTATTCGTTCAAAACACTACCGGTGAATATCCCAGATAACTTGGTTGAATGGGACAGGCTGATTTCAAGATTCCTTTAGCAGGGAGAGAAACCAACAGTTAGATACAAAACCCCTTCAGCTTTCTAGGAGTAAAGGGTGCTCCTCTGCCTAAAAACCTATTATCAAGCAGCTCACATTAAACCCTTGGTAAATATATGTAACCCTGACTACTCAGCAACATGGAAGTCAATTGAATGCCAGAACTCAGTTAAGGTCCAACTTAGGGCCATTGTTGGAGACAGTGAACTGAAACACCATCTGGGAGAAAAACCCAACCCATGTTTAGATCTTTCACTCGAACCTTGGTTTAAAGTGGATAAGTCCTCTGGGTCCCAGGAACACTACCCATTAATCCGCTGGGTGGCTGACGGTCCAGGATTTACCCCAAACAGGCTAGATTCAAGCTTCAAACCATGGCAGGAGTGAGGGCTAACTATTTATTTTGACTTCTTTGAGAAATTCTCACTTAGAAGTTTCCAAGGTTTGAGAGACCAATATGGCCTGGCTAGACAATATTTCTTCAGATTTCTACAGCTGATACATCACATTGAGAAAATATTTAAGAAAGAAGAAATTCTGGGTTGGGAGTATTCAATGTTTTTATTTCAGCATACAGAGCTGACCAGTGTCAAAACTATTTCTAAACTGTACAAGAGATTGCAAGAACTAAGTGGGTGAATACTTCTTTCAGAAAAGGAAAGTGGGAAAGCGAGGGAAACTTTGCAATATCAACAGAAGAGTGGGAAAAATATAATCGATAAAGAATGGATATCAACCAATTCACTGACTTGGAGAGAGCTTAATAGGAAAAATATGGTCAGATACTTTGTAACACCAGCACTTAAACAGTCTACGGGTCAGCAGACAGCATGCTGGAGAGGCTGTGGGTCTGTAAAAGGAAACCACTATCGTCTGTTTTGAAAATGTTCTAGGATTCACAGCTATTGGATGACAATCAGAGATCGCATGGAAGATCGACTTTTGTTTTCAGGTCTTGAACTTGAATAAGATGCCACCACAGCTTCTTGGCTTTTCAATAAAAAGAAAATTATGATAAACTTTAGGTGGGGACTAATAAAGTACAATTAGTCTTAGAAAACATCTTTTACTTGGAGAAAAGCCTTCAGTACTGTTCCTTGCTCTTCTTTCAGTTCTGAAATAACTAATGCTAGCAGCCTCTATGATAACCTCTTTAGCAGCCGCAATTGCTGTTTTTGAATGAACCGTCATCTAGCAGCAACCTCCATGGCTGACCAGTGAAACCAACATGGATGTAAGCAAAACTGCAGTTCCATACACAGCCACTTGAGGCGCCATAAGCCCGGTATTAAAATGCTCAACTTTACAGCAGAAATAACTGTTTACAGCCTAGTGAAAAAAACGTTTTTGGTTTCTCTCGCTAAATTTCCTGTTCCCCATTTTTATGTAACTCACCTGTTTTATACTATATCAAGAAATTAAAATCTTAAAATTAATCATAATTAAGGGCATGGCTGCTTCGAGGGACAGGTGGTTACTGTCACAGATGGCTGTTTTCAGTAACCAGGTTTTATTCAGCCCACCTCAGCTCCATGTATTTGCTCATTTTTGGGTTAGCCAGGAGCCCACACAGTCAGCACTGCCATTATGGCAACGGCCGGACCCACCAGGTTTTCAACGGCTCTTCAGAAACCTATGGGTGATATCACAGAGACTACGTCCACTTTTTCATATTTTTAATCTTTCTGAACAAGTGATTTAAGACTGTAAACCTCATCCTGCCTTTTTGTGGTGAATAAAGGTTGAATTAAAATCCTTGTGTTTTTCAGGTGTCAAGGAAAGACTTTGAGGGCTTCAAGAATCTTTTCCATAGATTTCTGCAGGTGAAGGGTCCATCAGTGGAGTGGATCAAGATACAAAGACCTCCAGAAGATTCGGTAAGTCTAGTTTGTTGAGGTTTTTGTTGCCCGTCTGTGTTCTTCTGTACAAATGTACTTGTAAAATATAAACTAATATAATGATAAAATGTAAATTTTTCCAGTTTATGTTTTGCAAAGTACACAGAAGGATTAAGCCAAACATACACACACTGTCTCTTGTACTGTCTTGTCAGGAGAACACTAAGCCAGAAAGCAATCATAAAAACTTACCAAGAAGTAATTAACATCCAATACAAAACAGAAATAACTTCCAACCAATGGGCTGCATTAGTGGAGGCACATTGCTGTGGATACATGTGAGATGATGAAATATGATTTGAAATTTGAAGGCTTATAAAATTATCAAAACCATAAAAAATAATTTATCCTCATTCTGAACGATTGCAAGATAGAATTTAATACAGTAGAATGACGCTGCTCACATTACAAGGTGAGCTACCTGTATTTGACTGGTCAACGCAATGTATTTTGCTGGAGTTTAAATATTTTTGTTGGATTGGCCCACTGTGTCTCAACTCCAGTTGTAGTGAATGTGTAGGCTGCGATTTGGTGATCTGAGCTACAGAGAAATACTTGTTACTTGAATTATTGTGACATAGGTGTAAACCAATTGTGTCAATCAAATTTGACCTTTGAACACATTTTTTTTTTTGTGCACCTAGCATGTTCATATTTAAAATGAAACCAACCATGTGCTGCTTGTCACCTTGAGTCAGTGATGTGTCAGTCCCAGACTCAGATGATCAAACTACCATCCTGGAATCTGTCACTCATCATGATGAGCTGTCATGATTCATGAAACAGAGCCCAACTTCAAGCTGAAGCTGAAGCATCAGAAGCATCAAACAAGATGACACCAAACACAGTTCAAAATGAAATGGTGCTCGTTTATACTCCTTTCGTCTTCACTTCGTCTTCATTTTCTTCTCATTGTGGATGTTGCTTCACTTTGTACAACTTGGCTTACATCTGGCTGCACCCACAGCAATAAAGATACTCTATGTACAGACACTGATTACAGGCCAATAGGGGATTTGAGTTTGTACAGTATATGATGTCAAGATTTAAAACAGACAGCAGTGATATCCCATTTAATTTAATAATGATTCAATCATAAAAACATATGGACACTATGTACCAACTGGAAATACAACATAAAACAGGACTGGACTGGACAGAAGGAAGTATGTGCCAATTGCCACTCTTTTATTGCTTGTTTCCATGACCTGAAAAGTAGCCTTACTGATAAGATCACATGACATCAAACAGTGTTACTACATCCTGCGGTTTGTAACTGCCACTACACTGTGTTGATTGAGGTGCATAATTTGAGTTTGTGTAGCAGAATCCCAGAACTTGCTGTCTGAACTTCATGTAGATTTATTACAGCCGTTTTTTGTAATTGTAATTCGTTGACACCTTAAGGGCTTATGTTACCTTCTACATTGAAGTAAGTGTAAGCATTACATAAGATAGGGATGTTATGCAACAATTGAAAGTATTTTCTCTCTTATGTCTTCACTTCACTCTTGTTTCTGAGTTTTATTTGGCTCAGGACGAGTTCACACCTAACATTAACATGCATCTTTTGTGATCATAAGTGATAAGTACGTCAGTTCACACCTGACATTAGAATGCGTCTCCACATGCTTCTCCACTTGTAATTGGATCTCACTTCCCTGCTCTATATGCAAATAAGCATATATATAATTTCTGGCTTTCCATACACACTGCTGAAATAATGTTGTATTGTTGTATCAGTGTGTCACTTTTGAAGCCCTTAACACACTGAAAGAGGTGCATTGTATAACAAATGGTGGTTTAACCAATTCCACACTCAGAGCAATGGCCAGGGAATTTTAATATTTTTGGGATGCTGATGAACTTTAAAACAAAAAACAATTGAATCCGGAAACATTTTTGCATGAAATGTACAGTTTCTCTCAACTGAACACTCGGATTAGATGACATGTGTGTAACTTGACTCAGTATACAGCATTTGTTAAATACAATTCCCCCTTGTCTTCTTAAAACCTGCACCACTCAATAGACACCTAAACCATACACCTCGACTGTTACAGCACTGTCTAGAAAGAGGATTTGAACGGGTCAGTTGCATGACAGATGGGACAACGTGTCGATTGTCCCTTGCTCTTTTTGTTCCATCCAAGTGCCATGGGGAATATTGATGGAAATATTAGCAAGTCATGAACAGTACTGTTTGATGGCAAGACCACAACAGTGATACTGTCATGAGGGGTTTGATTCCCGCTGGCGTTGCCAATGATAAAGTGACACACTAGCTGATAATGGTTATTCAGAGCGTCCTATGAGTGGCACACTATAATAAGCTGCAGTTTCATCAACATTTTCAACACGCAGAGCCACAGAGAGATGATTTACAGTACAATAAATTCAGATTAATCAGGTTAAAAGGTAGATTATTAAAGTACAAGACATTTGACACATTATTTGTGGAACAGTGATCATAACTCGGTGCTCAGAAGGTGATTCCAGTGTTTTTATTCTCAGTGAATCACCTCAGTTGCATATAAAATATCAGTGTTAATAACATTGCCTTAAGATATTGCTGCTGTGAGTTTCAGGTAAACGGTAAAATGGCTCATTTAAATGTTCCAACAGTCATTGCTTACAGTAGACCTTTGTAGACTGTACATTAACTATTAACTATCCTCCTGGCAGCAAACCACCAAAGTCTAAGTTTCCTTTTTGATGGTGCTGTGGGTCGGTCACTTACAAAGTTAATCAAAGTGCCAAGTCAGTGTTTCTTTGAGTTGCCTGTGCAGGATATCCTTGTTCTCCTCAACTGAAAAAGCACATTTTGTAGGTCTTCCTTAGTTTTCAGTCACAAGGTTGCTCTCTGTGCTCTCCTTCAGTTTCCTGAACACTGGGCTTCCATGTTGTGTGGACTTCAAAGTACAAGGTTAGCAGAGTAAAAAAGAGAGTGCAAACTTATCTGATTTGGCTTGATCTCAAGGGAGGATCTTTGAAGTCTGAACGCAGTGTTTTGTGTCAGTCAAAATGTTGAGGAGTCAGAGGAAGCACAGAACAGCCAGTAAGTAAAGGGAGCAGCAGAAGTACATTGAGTCTGAGGGTTGGTTTGCAGGCTGCATTTCAAACCCTGAGAAAGTTCCAGCATTGTCTTTAGTAGACAGTGACTTTGAGTTGGCATAACCGTGCAGATAATGTAAAGCACTGAAGTATTATGGGTGTGGCCTTCATTAAATGTTTAATGACTTACTTACTTGGGGAAAAAATGAAACAAAAACCCACAAAATATATGTAATCATTTACTTTCAATTCACTGTGAAGTAAATCAATTATTTGTCCTTGTTTATTGTCTCACTGGAGTGGTGTTTTTTTTTTTTTTTTTAAATGAAGATTGGTTTTATCCTTTATGTATTTTTTTTTTTTGTGATGGTAGAAAGTATGACTCACAAGAAAACTGAAAAACACTGCAGCTGTGAATTATTAAGGGGTAAAATCAGATTACAGACAGGCTGAGGCAAAACATAAGTGCATGTTACAGTAAGAATTACATTTGAAGGTGTACTTTATAGATTTGGACATGTGAACGTCATCCAGTTAACATTATCACACACAAAGCCAGAGCCTGGGAATGCTGATGATAAGGATTACTTGTCAAACTCTTCAGCCTCTGCAGTTTTTATTCCATGGCAGTAGTGAAAAAAAAGGATTTAAACATTTACGGATGAACTGTCGTAATGAGGAAAGGAAGATGCAAGCCAACTGAAGTTAGCCCGATAACTTGGTTTAGTGATTATATCAGGTTGGTATTGAACGATGTTGTATCGTGATTGTCGTGCAGCAAACATTGTTTCTACACCAGCTTACATGAATCAGTTTCAGTGTCCCATGATTTTTTACTATGACAACAAACTCGTATCCTTCAAGGACATAAAATGTTGTTCATATGTAAACATTTATCACATTTCACTCTTATCAATAAATGTCTGAAGGAATGACTCCTCATGTGGTACCATTTCTGAAGATTGTCCACCCTACTGAGATCAAACTTATAGGACTGAATATGGAAATGAGTCATATTGGTGTGTTAAACACTTTATCAGGAAGCTGTACTAAATTTGAAAGTGATAGTAAATTACTAAAGCAGTGATTCTCAACCTTTTGAAATTTTGACAACTTAAAATCAGGCAGTGTCTGCTTGTGTTCATTTGAAGGATTTGTTGGAGAGCTGAAAGGTAAAAGTCGTGAAAAACCTAGTTTGATCTTTGAACCCTGTGGGAGGTTTCACAGGCTGTATTGAATTACTACATGGGCATACTTGTATTGAATCTGTGAAATTCTTTTGAAACCTCTTTCTATTCACACTTTCCAATAAGACACCATTGATTCAGTTTTATTTTTATAGTGCCAAATCATAACAGTTATAGTCATAAGTTATCTCAGTACACTTTTCATATAGAGCAGGTATAGACTGTACTCCTTATGGAATTATTTATACCGAACAGTTCCTACCATGAGCAAGCACTTGGCAACAGTGGCAAGGAAAAACTTCCGTTTTAAGAGGCCGAAACCTCAAGGAAAAAGAGGTGGGCACAGTCATGTTAGTAAGTTAATGGCCAGTTATAACTGATCTATAGAGCATTAGTAAATAGTTAACATTAATAAAGTCATTAGTTGCAACTAATGGACACTTTAAAGGGTGGCTTGTAAGAGTTTTAAATGTTGGAAAAAACTTTTAATTTCAAGCACACATTTCTTTTGACTGCTGCACTCTTATATATTTTTCAGGCTCCTGTCTTGTGATTCTGCTGCTGAGCATTGAGGTTCATTTATCCTGTTACATTCACTGTAAGTAGCTGTGAAAAGTGTAAACATAATATATGATCGCATTCGACGATAATAAATAAAAGTAATAAACAGAATTCTGGTTCTATATAAAGGTTGCCAGTACACTAAGATGTGCCCAAGGAAGTGAACCTGTAGTTCTGACGTTCCCTAATTGTTAGCTCTGCAAGTTAAATTAAACAAGATTTGATGCCCGATAGGATGTTACTACCTTCTAGGAAATACAACATGTGCTTCAAATTTTCTTTCCAACTAAATCACACAGGTTCAGTCGGTTTCATGCCAGAGAGGTTTCTGTCAGGCATTTGTTGGCCTTGTTTGTTTCTGTCTCACTGAACATTGACAAAACTTTGTCAGTTGCTCGCCCGGCATTGGACTCTTTAACCAAACACACAAAGCCTGATCTGTTTTCTTCTCCACGGCCCTGTAGTGAACAGTAACTGCTTCGCTCCACAATTCTCAGCCGCCTCATTTATTTTTACGAAGCTGGAGAGAGAGAGAGAGAGAGAGAGATGGAGAAGATTAAAGATGGAGAGAGGAGCAGCAAAAGATGAATGAATTGGGAGAAGAGGAGGCTTCACAGTGAAATTGAGAGTTACATAAAGAGAGATGGAGGCAGGGAGAAGATTAGAGGTTTGGAGAGGAAAGTGGTGAGACAAGTACTGAAACAGGGAACATTAAATGAAATAGGAAATGACAGTGACACACAGTAATAAGATAGGGAAACAGGGAGGGTGTGTGAGATGGAGGAAATGGGGTAAAGAGGCAGCACCCTATCCCAGTGAGGGAGAGTAAAGGAAATAGGAGAAAGGAAAGTAAACTTTTTTTTTTAACAACCCCTGCCAAAGACGGCCACTGAAATTTAAAATCTCCTCCAACTAAATTCATTATTCAGTAGCTTTTTAGTCAGTTTTGACAGATTGCCCACTCACTACTGCGACTAGTGGAGATGACAGGCTGACCTGTCGCAGCAGTAATTTAATGGGTATATTTTTGTCGTTCTTAAAGTTGTGTAGACGTATTTACCTAAGATTCAACCACATCAGATGAACAGCGCTGGAGATAAAGTTTTTGTTTTTAATTGTAGTTACAGTGCTACAATTTCTATTGTGATTTGACAAGTGAAGATAAACTTAAATACTGTGTAGGGCTTGAAGTAACAGTGATTTTCATTATCTATTTAATTTTTCATAGTTAATCGATTAGCCTACAAACTGTCAGAAAATAATAGTGGAAAATATCCATCACAATGTCCCAATTGCACATTGGAGGAGCTGGTACTGGGGAATCTTGACTGACATTTCTGTGGGCTGTAGTCCACATCCACATATACAACTAATAAACAGAGGACAGCAAAACTTAAAGGACCAGTGTGTAGGATTTAGTGGCGTCTAGCAGTGAAGTTACAGATTGTAACCAACTGAATACAGGTTGTGTGAAAGAGAAACGACGGTGGCTGCAAATGTGGTGTGACCCGCTCACTCTGCAGATATAAACAGCTCATTCTAAAGTAATGAAAATGCAGCAATTCTTATTACCAGGTGATTATACACCAATGAAAAAGATGTTGTCCCATTGGCCACTATCTATCTAAGTATCTAAAATCATTGGGAAAAAATACAGCTGACATTATGATCATGATCTTAACGATGACAGGAATGTTGCTCCGCCAGACTTATGTATAAGCTGCACTTTAGTAGGTAATAAAGTTATTAAGGTGTGCTTGTTGTATTGGTTTGAATATTAAGATGACTCAACCATCAGAAACAGCACTGGATTTACCTGCAGTGTGAGTGATAATGAAGACACAGCGTCTGAAAGATCTTCATGCCGTCAGCTCAGACAGTAAAACCTCTCCTGCAGTCACTGAGATTAAGATGAACCTCTTCTTCTTGGATCTGATGAAGGTAAAGCAGGTGTTGGTGAAACAGCGGACTGTATGTTGTTGTTTTTAATATGTTGTCACTCATTGCACACTAGCATTTCAGCCTTTGAGCAACCAATTGAGGTGGTTTAACGATGCCTCGTCATGTAAATCTGAACTGGTCAGGTTGTGGCCAGTTAGTCCCAAAGACTGATGTTCAATGCAATGATATGTGTTCCGTAGTTCTGCATTTCATCAGACAAATTACTTACTATAATGAATGACAACATGATACAACACAGTAGTAATTATAGAGCATATGTCTTCATAGGGGAAGTTTTAATTGTTGAAAATATTTTCCATTAATAAACATTTATATCTGCTTATAACCCATTGTTATAACCACAGTATGATGTGTTATAAACAATATATCTTGTGTGTGTGTATATATGTGTGTGTGTGTGTGTGTGTGTGTGTATGTATATATACTGCTTATAAATGATAAATGGGGTTTTCAAATAAACTGTGTGTGTGTAACAGATGAAATGAGGTGGAGACAATTTCCTGCATTGTTGTGATGCTGCTGTTTAATGTGCCCAAGGAAAGGTTTGCGGTTTGCCACATCTTGGGTTTTATTATTAAAGAAAAATAAATGAACGAGGGACAGAATGGGCAAAATGCCAATGTGGAAAGTGTCACCAAAGACACCAGTCTCACTCAGTGTCGGCTATACAGTCTAATCTTTATGGGACCGACCCTTAATGAGGACTTTTTCCATAAATATGGACATGTGGTCATTATAGTATAGATTATAGGTTTAAAATTGAGACTTCTGTCTAAACAAATACCTATATATATATATATATAGAGAGAGAGAGAGAGAGATAGCTGATTGAAGATTGATGGTGGGAAGAGAATTCTGGTTCTTCAAGAGTAAAACACATTTAGTCTTATCAGCATTATCAGCACATCTGTATTGGAGTAATGATATTGTTAATGTAGATTGTAAATAATAAAGAACCAAGCTCAGAAACTTGAGGTACAGGTCGTGTGTTGCTCGTGTTCTATCATATGAGGGCCATTTCTGAATCAACTGTAGGTGTTTGTCTCACAGTTACATGTTTTTTTTTTTCTTATTTTGTCTCTGTGTGTGAGCTCTGCATTAGGGGAAAGTCAGTGTCACTCACACATTAAAACACATATAAGCTTCAATCCAGGGGCTCTGTCAATCCAGGGATCTGTGCTCTAACTGTCTAACCACTGTACTAGATTATGCTGTTCCATCGAGTCCGTGCTTACGCTGCACTTTGGTGATAACAGTGTAGTTTGACTCCAGTCATGCAGACATCTCCCCTCCTGCACTGATGCTGATTAACATGTTGTGCAAACCATATTTTAGTTGTATAACAGTTTTGAATCCCCCTGTCGTATATATATTTATGTCAATCCCAAACTATAATCCATTGCTGGGCTCTCTTTGCTCTAGATTAAATGTCCTGTGGGTGTCTTCCAGGTGCTCAGTCATTCAGCTGACAGCTGCTTGTCAGCCAAAGTAAAAAACGTATACTGCAGTTTGCACTAGAACTGATGGTTTATGAAAGAATAATAATACAGAAGTAGTTTTATCCAGCAGTCTGGTCAAAGAGGTGTTCCCTGCAAGCACTGAGTACCTGGGAACACACATAAACACAGACACTCTCACACACACTCTGACACACACACACACACACATGCAAAAAGGAAAATGAACATCTGGGAGTGGAATCTGTTTAACTCCAGGGGTACAGGGGTAGGATGGGGATCCCAGCTGAAAAACGTTTCGCTCAGTATGACAACACACACACCAACGACTCTCTCTTCCCTCTGAATTTCTGGCTATCTTTTTAATTTTCCAGTACCTGCAGGGATTTGTATCCGTCAACATGTACGTACGTACATTTACGTAAACTGTCAGCGTTTATGATCCATCTGCGTTCTTTTCATTCGCATTCTTCTCACTTAACACATTTTACAACTTCTGACCATGAAACTTCTTTTGTTCTCCGTGATGATCATGTGAAAGACAGAAAAGTGAGCGGCAGCTGGGTCGATGTTGTTGGGTGGGGCGAACACCAGTGGAGAGGCCGCCGTTTCCATCAGGGGGTCTGTCGTGTGTCAGCTGTCACTGATTGGTGACTCTGTGCTTTTAGCTGGACAGGACCCATAATGGCCTTTTCATTTCCTCACAAACGCTCTTCAGACACACTGTCTCACTGACACATTTATTCTTATTTGAAGAATGCATGAAAACTCACACAGAGCTCAACTTAAACACTGTCACGCTCACTCTCTTCATAACAACAAAAAGCTGTTGTAACATCTGGTTAGAATTTGCTATCTCTGGATGTGTCTGCTCATTGCTCACAGTTTCTAAGTCCATTTTTAAAAAATCCTTGTGAAAGAACAAAATTCATTCAAGCTGAATGAATTTTGAGGAGAAACGCAACACCAATGGAAAACTAATCCTGTTGCTGTTTCACTTCTAGCTTAAAAAACCCTGGTTCATCAGTTTTATTGTTTTAGATGGTCACATCCTCTTTCATATCCTCCCTTTGCTCCTTCCTGCTCTGTGGGAGAGAATTAAAGAAGTCAATACATGATGTGTGAATACGCTGGTGTGAGAGATGTAGTATTGATCGAGTAATGTGGCTTCACACGCACACACACACACACCATACTCCAATGATTATTTTGCTGCCTTGCCAACAGAAGTGCTGAAGACTATATTTGAAACCGACTGTGTTGTGCATTAAGTCATCGTAATTACTATTATCTGCACCACTCACTCAAAAACATGCCACAGAATGTGTGATGTGTCTTTTTTCTTTCATGCAGCATTTCCTTTCTTGTTTCAAAGCACATTGCAGAATAAATTAAGAATTTGTGACATTTTCACATTTCTGTGTCAATTCAGCCCATTAGATTGCTCAGCTGGTAATTCATCAGCCCACACTCAAAGCTGTTAAAGTCTCTGTGCTGCATTTCCTGGGTAAAACGTTCGCAACTTGTTTGCAATAATCAGTCAAATCAGTCATTTCCAAGAAAAATAGACATAAAATTACCACTGTTGAATCACAGGTGGTCTCATGGAAGTGCAGAAACACTGCAGTAATAAACACCTTGCACAAATTAGAGTAAAAGTTATATATATATATTTTTAAAGGCACTTTACAAGTAAACCTGCTGTGTAACCCTAACCCTCCGACTGCCTTTTTCTCCCGCTCCTCCAGATCCAGCCCTTTGATAAGATCGCCGCTCGTGGCCTGCCGGACAACGTGGCTGACAGCCTGAATAAACTGGTGGTGGTGAAGCTGAACGGAGGCCTGGGCACCAGCATGGGATGCAAGGGCCCCAAGAGCTTGATCAGTGTCCGCAACGAGAACACCTTCCTGGACCTCACTGTGCAGCAGATCGAGGTATAGTAATCAGCAGTAAGCGTCTAGTTAACAAACAAAGTTGAGCTTTTATTTAATAAAACGGCAGATATTTCCCTCAGGAGATGGTGGAGACCAAAAACAGAGCAAAAAAGGAGAGCGAGTATTGGATTTACACTGAATGCTAATATTGCTGTGTGTCTGTTTGGTGTTCATATCAGCTTTATAAAGTGATAATATGTCGGTGTAGTCTTTTACCCTGTCACCAAACCTCTCTGGTGAAAACTAATTTTATTGAGGTATAAGAACCAAATTAACAGTTTATCTTAATTTTAGAAGAAAATTCAGGCAGCCGCAACACTTGAACTCTAACTTTCGTTGGTTCTTGGTAGTTCACACCATATTTCTTTTAGTTGGTTGTTTTTATTGTTTGCTCGTCACGAAACCTCCCTCCTCAGCTCGTGAATCAATCAGTGGATAATAGATTCACAGTCTACGAGTTTCTCTTTTCTCTCACAAGCACAGCTGACAGCCCTTCTCCTTTTATAAATCCCATTTCTACTGTGGCAGGATTGGTCGTAGTTGCCTAAGTCAGAGGTGTTGTGCACACAGCGGAGAATAGGTCAGTTGCCACACCAGCATACACAATGTGGCTGTGATGTCAGATTGGGTGGGACAGGGGAGCAGGAACTGATGTGTTTTCTGATGTAATACAATCCAATAGGCCGGTTTCACTGTTGGCTCTGCTGTAGTGATATTTGGATAGTGTCTCGTTCTGCTTTCTGTTTTCTCACAAGCGCAAGAGAGGAACTTTTCTTTATTACCTCAAGCTAGAAAAGTGCTGGAGAAATTTCAGAGAATTCAGGAGAAAAAAAAATCCAGCTACCTCTCCTTTTCATAAACACAAAATTACGAGCAGATGTCTTTTCTTCTGCCTTTCGCTCTATGATGCTGCATGCGTAGCATCCTCCGGGCACAAGCCTTTATTACTTTATGTATCTGAGGTGCCGGGGGAGAGACACATTTTTGTTGTGTTTTTTTTCTAGAGCTGGTTTTTTGAAAGGAGTTCAGTGTGATATCTTGGGGGAGTTGTAGTGAAAGAGGATCTGTTGGTGTGCAGGCGGGCAGGTCTGCGGGGTTGGCAGAGAAACAGAGAAGGCTCTGTGCTAGAGGAGAAGAGTGTGTGTGCGAACATGTGTATGGTGATTTGTGCCTGATCATACATCAAGACATGTCATGTACATTAAAAAAAAACTTTATTCTGTTCATCAGCCATACAGCTGATCGTTTGATTCATTTATTTGGTTCAAATCTCATTCGTGTCCCACAAATAATTAAAGAAGAATCGCACATTTAAGCGGCCTTTCCGGAGAAGTTTTGGAGAGTTAGTTACAGGTTAAAGTGAGGTTAAAGTTTTGAGACAGTTGTAAGCCTCAGTATAAGAAATCTGTCCAAGATGACGATGGCAGAGCCTTGGTGTGGACAGTATTGTGTAATTGAGTTTATATGGGGGATGTGTGGCTGCTTATTATTTGTGTGTGTGTGTTTCATAACAGCCTCATGGGACACTTCTCTCCTCCCAGCACACTGCTCTCTGTGTCCGAGTCACTGCTCTCCATTTTATGCTCAGGTCTGGTCAGATTACCTCCTGACTGAATCAGCCTATTTAGAAAGAGAGAAAATGGATCCCATGCACACATCGACCCATAACCGGTCCCTGTGTGAGAATGCCCCTCTCAGCCACCACACTACCTCAATGGGAATTTATTTTGGACCACTTCAGTGCAGAGACCTGTATAGTCACACTCAGAGCAGAAGTGGAAGATTGGGCAAAACTGGAATGGCGCCACCTGGCTGCTGGAGATTTACTGCTTTCACCTGAGTGACACTCTTGGTACCACATCTGTTAAGTTAGTTGATTAAGCAAGGTAGAGAGTTGTAGCTGCCACTCTGTTCTCTAAAGGGAACAATTCAAACTTAAACATGTCGTACAGGCTGTTTTCTGTATTTTTAGACTCAATGTATTTTAGACATAATTAACTGATTTGTTGAAATGAAAATTAATTGGTGGCAATTTTGATAATAAATCAGTTGTTTTTGTAATTTTCTTTAAAGCAAAAATTTCAAGAATTCACTGGCTGTGGCTCAACAAATGTGAATATTTTGCTGGTTTTCTTTCTCATAATATATTTTGGTTTTGGACTGCTGGACTAAACAAGACATTTCAAGAAGTCACATTGGGCTTTGGGAAAATGTTTAATTGTTCCCTATTCACTGACAATTTATAGACCAAAAGATACATTGTTTTAAATTGAGAAAACAGTTTGATTCCCAGCTTGTTGCATATCGTAAACCCCTCCCTCGCTTACTACATTCCCTCTCTATATTTTTATTACCACTATGAAATAAATAAATGCCTGAAAAAGATCTATCTTGGGCAATAACATGAACTGTTTGCTCAACACTGGGCAAAATGTTCAAGGCGGTTTGCTTACTTTCATGGTCATTGTCATCACCCTTGCCGCCTCCCCACACACCCACTGTCAACATCCTAGAAAGGAGGTTGTGAGTTAATAGTTTGCAGTTTGTTTGCATTGCATAATGATATATGTGAGGGCTTTAACATCCTGAAGTCTCATGACAGTTCCACCAAAACGTTTAGGAAAGTTATACGCCGTCTCATACTTGCAAATGAGAGGTCAGTGTTTATTTATGTAAAGCGAACGGCCAGCCAACAGCCATCCGGTTTATTAAAGGCAAGAAGATGTTCTCAGTTGAGTTTAATCATTCCTAGTTCTCGGTCACAGGCTGGAAATTCAACTCTTTAACATCGTCCTCACGTCAACTTCTCCCCACTGATTCATATCCTATTTCTCATCTTCCTCCTCTACTCACTTTAATTTTCTCTTATCTTTGTAGAAATTGCTTCCATCTCTCCCCAGGTGTTACTCCCTTCCTTTGTATTCACTCCAATCACTCAATGAAGATACAGAAACAACACTTTCTCTAGGGCTGCTGATCCAAGAATTCAAGTGTTTCTCGTTGTTGCACTCATTGTAAGTCGCTGTAGTGTCATCAAATCAAATGTAACCACTATAACTGTCAAATTTGTATGACTCTCAAGCATATATTTAGCAATATAAAGAAACATAGAAAGCATCTCTAATATATACATGAAAGAAAAAAAAGAACTTGTGCCATTTGTTGTAAGAATATTTTCCCTGTAGTGGCTTACATACAGGGGCCAGCCTAAAACCAACAAGGGTCGGCGCATTAGGCCTACGACAGGCAGGGCCTCTCTGGGGCTCATGCATAGTCGTTTGCATTTTGCACAATTTGTTCAGTCAGTCTTCCTTGAATAAATTATACCAAAGAACCAAATTGAAGGCATTTTAATAGTTTGTGTGTGTTCTTTTAACGTCCCACAGCACTTGAACAAGACTTACAACACAGATGTGCCCCTGGTCCTCATGAACTCCTTCAACACAGATGAAGACACGAAGAAGATCCTGCAGAAGTACACGCACCACCGTGTCAAGATACACACCTTTAACCAGAGCAGGTGAGAGAAACAGCCACAACACACGATAACACGTCAAGTAAAACTCACGTTGAGTAACAGTCCAAACACTCCGGACAAGCACTATGCTGATACACATTTACATAGGTGAGGTTATTTTTCTCTTACACAAGATATTAAACTGGAAAGGAGATTTAAGAAAATGGGTGTGCTAGAGTCCACAAAGCTCCGGCAGCAGTATTGAACCCAAATGCACCGACTGAACTCAGCTTCTTCTAATGATGAACTGGTCTATATTCAGTATCTGAGCAGCCAGCGGACAATTCCCTGCTGTGTGCCTCTTCTGAGTCTGACCAGCAGCATCCAGACAGGAAATGTCATGTAATGTATGGAGAAAGACATTAATATTTAATGCCTTGCTGTCTCCAATTTGTCAGTCAAGCGGAACTTGCTTTTTACTATCTCCCTTGAATTATTTAGAGCACTTGTATGTTATGTTTGCCAGAAGGAGTGCAGTACAAAGCACTTTTGGACAACAGCAGCAGCAGTGGTGGTGGTGGTGGGGATGGGTACTGTAGCTTTAGGATTTAATGTCAGCGCAGAGAAGGTGGTTGAATAGTTGAAATGTCAATCAATAAGAGAACAAAGAGAAGTCTGTGGCCGAGGTTGTGAGAGTAATTCATAAAAGGCGAATTAAATTCACTGCTCATCACACTATCTGGTGTTCCAGTTGATGAGGGAAAGCAATTTGCTTTACCCACCAGACAAATTCAAAAATTGTCCAACGGCTTTCATTTTTTTTTTTTTGTCACAAACAAAACTCCCAGGTTACCCGCCAAGGTGATGAGCGGAATAAATAAACCCAACAGCCCATTCAAAGGTCTAACACTGTTGTCATTTTGTGTTTGAATCTCTTTAAAACTTTTTCTTCAAACCAATTCCTGCAAAGATCCCCAAACATTTTGCAATAGTACTGGTTACTTGCTAACAGTACTTGTTTGCTCAACACTGGGCAAAATGTTCAAGGCAGTTTGCTCACTTTCATGGTCATGATGTTCACACACCCAACGCCAACATGCTAGAGCAACTAGACTAGAGCATTACTAGAGCAAGTTGCGAGTTAATTATTTTTTAAAATTGCATTATAATGTGTGTGTGTGTGTGTAGGCTTTGACATTTTGACAGTTCCACAGAAAGGTATGGGGCAGGTTTTACGCAGTCACACCCTCATTTTAAAGGACCAGTGTGTAGGATTTAGTGGCATCTAGCGGCGCAGTCGCAGATTACAACCAACAGAATATTGTTCGCTTTCCAGGCATGTAGTAGGAACTACGGTGGTCACGAAACACAGGCCTTATCTAGAGCCAGTGTTTAGTTTGTCCATTCTGGGCTACTCTAGAAACATGGCGGTTAAACATATCAGACTCTGTAGAAGAGGACTCGCTTCCTCTGTAGTTAAAAAGTCAGCTCGTTTGAAGGTAAAGAAAACACAATGAAAGCATACCTATTAATATTTCATTGGCATTTCTGCCAATAGATCCTCCTAAATTGTTACACACTGGACTTTTAACTCTTGCAAATGAGAGGTCAGAGTTAATTTACATAAAGGTCTCTAACACTGTGTCTGTCTTTGTTTTTTTCATTCAAACCAATTCCCGGAAAATATAGCCATAAAACCAGCTCCTTGTTTAAACTAACAAAACAATAAAGAATAGTATATTGTAACTCTAGGAGGAGGCATGAGAAAAAGCAAATTCAGCGCTTAGATAAATTATTGCTTCTGATACTGAAAAATCCAAGTGATTCTTTGATAAGATGTGTGTTCCTTTTCATGTGTACATTGGAAAGAATTACTGTTCCTTCTGAGGCAGAAATATTGGATCCAAGACAGGAAAAACAATTAAAATCTTTGAAGTCCATGAGCTCATATCAAAACCACTCATCTGAAACATCTTCCCAGAACAGTCAGCTAGAATTAAACCTTTGTTAAAAAGGCCTCCGTGCCTCCAATCTGCAGATCCTCTCACCTGACCAGCTCATCTGCACTCATCCTCAAACTGCCAGAAAACACAGCCAGCTCCCACTCAGTGCTGTTCCTCGCGATGAGGTTTGTTAACGCAACCTGACGCAGATCCTTCTTAGAAACCCTTTGATCAGTTAAATGCGTAAAGCGATGATGGCTTGTTGCCTCATCTGCCTTCTTGGAAAAAACGTATAAAGTTAACTTTCTGACGGTTTGGTTTGAAGTCCTACAGTGGAATGAAAAGAGGAAATTTCCACGGCACCTGGCATGCTACTTTTTGCAAAGTTACAATGGATTTACACTTTTTTTTTTCTCTCTTTGTGTTGTTTATCTACTTAACATGTGCTGTCTGAGGTTTACAGCTCTGCAGCAGGTGAGATAAGTGAGTTAATAATAATAATAATAAAGTTTTATAGCTACAAACCTAATCACATATGAGAGATAGAGACTTTTTATGTGCCAAAAGAAAGAGGAAAACTGTTCATGGAGTGTCATCAAAAACAAAATGACACTTGAATGTTATATTTTATCATTACAGTTAATAAGTATTTATTCAAGTATCCAATATTTCATGATACAGCATGACCTTTTCAGACATGTAGAGTGGTCTGCAGAAACTGACTTCTTATATTAACAATAGATCAAATAACTACATGTGTAACTTGTTGTGAAAAAACACACAGAAAAATGTCTCGACTTATTTAAATCAACTCTATTGCTCCATGCTCCTCCAATTCAAAGGAGGTAGGTAAGTTTTAGTGGCATGTAGTGGTGAAGTTGCCGATTGCAACCACTGAATACAGCTCAGCCTTCCAAGCACGTCAGAGAAACTTCTATGTAGCGGACTCTGTAGAAAGAAAATGGCTCTAATAATGAAATATAATATTGCATTTCTGCCAAGAGATCTTCCTAAATGTTAAACTCCGGACCTTCGACTCCGATGTTTGATTAATTTTACGCTAAAAACATTTTTGGGATGGATACGATACAGTGAGTTATTAGATATTTGTGTTTATAAACCAACAATATCAAAAAAAAAGGGAACATGAAACACACAAATACCTGATTTCATTGTGGACTTTTTTCCTCTTTTCAGGTACCCTCGCATCAATAAAGAGTCCCTCCTCCCTGTGTCCACGAACTTGAGCATGAATGGGCAAAATACAGAAGGCTGGTACCCTCCAGGACACGGCGACATCTACGCCAGCTTCTACAACTCGGGCCTGCTGGACCAGCTGATCGTGCAGGGCAAGGAGTACATCTTCGTGTCCAACATTGACAACCTGGGAGCCACGGTCGACCTCCACATCCTGCACCACCTGGTCAGCCAGCCCAACGGCAAGCGTTGCGAGTTTATCATGGAGGTGACGGATAAGACGCGTGCAGACGTCAAGGTATGTGGAGGAGGACCAGGTCTTTGTAGATTTTTTTCCTATGTTAGTCATATTTTCTGTACTCAGTGGTGTTGTATACATTACATTTGTCTGGGAAAACAGGGAATGTTTGTGTTGAGCTTTAAAGTCAATCATTTACACACATCGAATGTGTCTATAATAGCTTATTCTAATCCTCAGGGTGGCACTCTGATCCAGTATGACGGAAAACTGCGTCTGCTGGAGATCGCCCAGGTCCCCAAGGCCCATGTGGACGAATTCAAATCAGTTTCAAAGTTCAAGATCTTCAACACCAACAACCTGTGGATCTCTCTGGCTGCCATCAAGAGGCTGCAGGAACAGAAAGCAATGGACTTAGAGATTATAGTCAACCCCAAGGTGAGTGAAAAGGGGACTGGGAAATAACACAAACCGCACACACACTAATGAATGAGGCATAGGCAACACCAAATAACAGAACAGTTCAGATTTTTATTACAGATAATAGTTGTTGCTCAGTTTTATGATTCTAAAGCCAAAGGATGTGTTATGAAAGTATCCACTGACAAAATCAAAACAAGAAAACAAACTGAGGGAAAGATATATAAATATAATAAAGGCAAAGAGAATTATATAATATAATCCCACCCTGTTTATGGTTGGGACAGTCATTTTCTTCCAACAATTATTATAATGATTTTTTGCTGGGACGAGGGAATAAGAAGAAGAGTTTCTGAAGTACAGTAAGGTTTAACAGCCGAGGATGATTAGTAAAGGATTTGGTCCTACATTAGTGGTAAAGACTCTGTGTCAAACAAATGGGTAAAGTTTCAGAACACAAAGAAGAACTGAGGCTTAAAGTTATTTCTTCTGAGTGACTTCAGTCCCATATGGCCGTCATTATTGTGAAAATATGTTCACAGCTACATTACAAAAATATTGGTGACTAAGCCTGATGAACACAGTTTTATAACAGCATCCATCAGGACAACAAACATGAGCCTTCACTTAGTTATGTCAACAACTAAATAAATCTTCTAGTACAGAGGTTTTCAAACCGCGAGGCATGCCTCCCCGGGCGTCGACATGAGGCAAAAGATACTGCGAGGTGAAAGGGACAGGTTCTTATCGGTGTTCTCAGAACAACAGGAAGTTAGTTATTGTAGTTTGGCCCCATGATGTGGCCTGATCACCAACAGTGGCTGTGAAACACAGCTCATGGAGGCAATTAAGGTTCTTTAAATCCCTTAGTGCCCATTTGCTGCAATTTGCCAGAATGTTTTTACTCTCAGAGACAAGAGAGACTCAAATCTGAACACGCTGAACCCGCAGACACATATTTTAAATTCAGTTGGACTTATACTTCCCACAGATGTCCAAGAATAAATGCCCATAAATCCACTTAGAAATCATAGGAGATGCTCTTTTTAACTCCAGAACTTGCCTGAGTATCATTATGTTTTTAAGTTTCCTGCAGCGGTAAAGTAATCCAGTGACACGTGTGAGTACATCCACGGTTCCATTACAAACAGGAACTGCTAATGGAGAATTCGGCATACCTTTTGTGAAAATGTAAACAAATACAGGCTTAAAAAAACCCAGGCTTAAGCTGTAGCCCACAGCTAACTCACTGAGTCTATGGCAACAATATACTTCCTGTTAATCCCCCACATTGTGGGAACTGTAGTTTAGAATTAAGAGCAAATGGGGGGTGTTTGGAGGGCACGGTTGTCTCTGTTTTTGTCTGCCTCAGTACCTCAGTCATTTTTATAATATAAGGAATACTTTCAGTCTCCTGAGTTGTGCTGTCTTGCAATATGCTCCAGTCTTTATGCTTCCTCCTCTTCATTCCCTCTCGATGAATTATGGAGCCCATCGGAGTGAAATGACTCATAAATGTCCTCGTAATAGCCCGCTGTTGGATCATCCATGTATGAGCCTGAAGCCTTGAGGGGGCTGATTCAAAGAAGGACCACACCAGGACGTCTGAGTGTGCAATAGTTCAGATGAAACAATTGACTTCAATAATGGTCAATAATCAGCCCACCTCCCAGAATAATTTCATCCATCCTGTTTTACCGCGTCCACCCTGTCGTGTGAGAAAACATATCTGTGCAGAGCAGGGAGATAATGTGCACCTCTTTCCTCTACAGAGACCACCGCCTCTAAATAAACCACGCTTTCAGAGGAAACCCATATTTTAAATCCTCTCTGTGCTCCTGCCGTCCTGCACTGCTCAACTTTTTTTGAGCCGTTTGTTGTCACGTGAGGGTTTTGCATACAAAGAAGAGAAAAGGAGATTCAAACCAATCCAGTTTTCTGGTCACCTCTCTGGTGGCTCATCTGCCCTACTTGGACGGCAGTTTAAGCTGTGTGTGGGATGGCATGAGAGAGACAACAGATATTAAAGTTTTACTTCCTTCACAGATATTTTACTTCAAAGGCCACTTCTGTGAGCTGCCTCTCATTTTACTTTGTCTACTGAGCTGCTTTGTCCAGCTCTGATTCCCTCAAGTCTGCATACAGTTCATTTTCACACACATTTCTTTTTAAAGAAGCAAAGAGTTGTTGAAAGAAATTAAGATTGTGAGGCAGCAATAACTGAGCTGCTTGGATTAACATGAAGGAAAGGTTTGAGTAAATGCTTAATCAGTTGAGTTAATCTGTGTGGAATGGTCTGATTAGTTCAAGCATCATTTTGAGGTTCAGTGTCTTCCCTGCACATGTTTCTCCTTTATTGCCCTCCAAGCTCTTGGTGACAGGGCGGTCCTGTTAAAAGCAGTGCAGCAAACAAATTTGAGTTGATGTGACTTGATGTTATTTTGGTTATGTGCCTCTGCCCCCCACCCCCAGTGGAAAAGCACCACCTCAGGGTATGCAAATCTGCCACCAGCCATAGTTTCACTACTGAACCTCAGCCTGATTCCTAATTATTGCTTTTCTTGGCATATAGATGTAATTTTCCAGCTCTTGGCTACAGAATCGCACACCGTGACATAGCAAGTGTTATGCAACCGGTGATAACTGTGCAGAGCAGTGTGGATTTACATAAGTGTTTTGGTCCTATCTAGGTAAGAGTGCAGCACTTTTAAACCTGCAGAGTTCATATTATACTGCACTGTAGCCCCATACATGTTAAAACTGTGTGCACTTGTGATTGTGAGAGACACTTAAGATAAAAGCATGTTATATAACCCCTTCTGATAGTTATAGACTAGAGACCCAGATCATTATATTATCACATGTTGTCCTGTGAAACCTTTCAGAGTCTAATTTTAGTTTCATCAAACTCACCTCTGTGGTTTCAGGAAACATTAGTCTGAGAGTCTCCAGCCAACTCTGTGAGACTGGCACAGTGGTCCTTTGTGCTAAATGCCAATATACTCACAATATGTGATAGGTGTAAGGTTTACCATGTCCACCATCTTAGGTTATCTTGTTAGCACGCTAACATTTGCTGATTAGGACCAAACGCAAAGGAGAGCTGAACGTCATGAGTTTTCTGGGTATTTTAAGATTTTGACCTGATGGTGGTGATAGAGGAAGAACTTTCATTGCATCCAGTAATAGTTGAGATATTTTAGTCTGGACCGAAGTGTTGGACAGACACACAGACATTGCCATCCCTCCAGCCATGCTCACGGCCAGAACTACCTGCTGATGTAACTGAAACTGTAACATTTGACTTTTTTTTTAATCAAACGAGACGACAAATAGTCACAGATGTTGTGCTAAAATATTTGGAAGCTGGTGCAAAACAACCTCCCATTTAAATCAGAATCAGAATCAGAAATACTTTAATAATCCCAGGGGGAACTTATTTTCGTTACAACACTCCAGATATACAAACAACATATATATATACAATATTCAGCACAAAAAATATAAATATATATATATATATATACAAGATCAAATGTACAGTATTAATGTGCATAAGTGCAAAAGAATGATTGTCTATGTTTTGAGTCAGAATTACAGAGGGGGGGTGTCTGACTCTCTGAGGGAGGCGTTGTAGAGATTGATGACCACAGGCAGTTGTTTCACCTAAATGTTCAGTTGGCTTTTGGTAGAAATATGGGCTGTTTGTTCTGTAGTGTGTTATTTTGCCTGTGTGCAGTGAGAGATGCAGAGAACAGGAACCTCCCCTTGGCGATATGAATCAGAGCATTAATTGCAAACACTTCTTGTTCTTCGCGCTGCTGCAAACACGCAGGCAAAGACATTTTAAAGAATTTAGTTACTTTTCCACAGCAAGCCGACACGTCTCCTCTCTTCTTTTGATTCTTCTCAGACGCTCGACGGCGGGCAGAACGTTGTCCAGCTGGAGACTGCAGTCGGCGCAGCCATCAAATGCTTCGACAACGCCCTGGGCATCAACGTACCTCGCAGCCGCTTCCTGCCTGTCAAGACCACATCAGACCTGCTGCTGGTTATGTCCAACCTGTACAGCCTGGAGGCCGGCTCTCTGACTATGAGCCCCAAGAGAGAGTTCCCGACGACGCCGCATGTCAAACTGGGCAGCTCCTTCACCAAGGTCATTATCATAGCAGTGGGGAAAGAACATGTCTGCTGTCCTTATTTTGGATTGCATGAAAAGTCCTGTAAAGATTTAAGGTGCTATGTGGACCTTTTTCAAAAGCGTCACTGGTTCAATAGTAAAACTAAACATCTTACATTAAAGGTTTATTTCCCCCAAATCACAAAAAATACAATGTAAAGTCATGTACCACTTCCCCCCATCCAGCAATACAGGTAGTTTCAGTTTTATCTAATGGAGGTGAAATTCTATACAAACAATAGAGAGGTAAGGTTTAAGTATTCCTCTTTATCTTTTACAGTATGCTTTCGTTGTCCAAAAGTGACATGAGAAATAAATAAATAAGAAACTTGTTTCATAGAAAAGAAAATGGATAACTAAATCATAGATAAAATCTAAACTATTTTCTTAATTGTTTCTATATTCCTCCTCCACCTTTCTGATTTATTTACTGTATTCATTTATCTGTTCATTTCCTGTGTCACTTTTGGGCTCTGATGCAGTGTTGGAGTTTTTCTTCACCTTACAGAAGAGGATAAAGATCTTGGGCGTCATTTTTGTGTTGCTGCCTCACTTTGCTGTAAAGTCCCCACATTACAACATTTCCCTCTAAACCCAACTGATTTCTATCTTATTTAGTCCAATCTGGTGACACAGTTCTGATTTTATTATGGTAATTATCTCAAACTGTGTGGTAAGTAATTACATCATACTAATGCGTTACACTTCTGGGCACCAATTTTCCAGATTGTTGTTATTTCCCATCGTTGGAATAACTCTTATATAGCTCTTTACTAGACTTCAAAACATGATTCAGTAGGTTTAAATGTTTTTCCAAAGGATCCACAGGGCTGAAATTCCCTCCTATGTCCGTCTGTGTACAGGTTCAGGAGTATGTGAACCGCTTCGAGAGCATCCCCGACATGCTGGAGCTCGACCACCTCACGGTGTCCGGAGACGTCACCTTTGGGAAAAACGTTTCACTGAAGGTAAACATCTGCACTCAAATGAAGTTTTATTGGAAATAAAATCTTCAGTCGCGTCGTGAAAGAAACCCAACATTCCTGTAAACGCATGGAAAATAAAACTGGGTCATAAAGGGTTTACCAACAAATTAAATTTGTATTTGCTCTAAATGTGCTGAAGTCTCTTCGGTTGAGCGTGATAACCCAGAAAGACCATTTGCATTATTTATCCTGGTGCCCACACTGATGGCACAGGATGCTGGAGATACATGGTGTATTAGAAAGGCCCCAAACCACGGGTGTTCTCTGACTTGCAGCTTTATTAGTTTCCATACTTGTTGTGTTGTTTGTGAGACACTCAGGGGCAGCTCCAGCTGCATTTTACTGACCCTTCTCTCTAAAGAAGTTTAATCCTGAGAGATTACAATGTGCTCTCAATGTGCATTTTAACCAGGGATGGAAAAAGCACTGGGAGACTGAGGGACGCCCATGAAAGATGACCTGTGGCCCTTTACTGCCCTCATCCCCTCTCCGCCCTTTCCTATCAATTAGGCTACAAAATAAAGTGCGTTTACATGTCAACGTATACCCCAGCAGCACAGCATCATGCCACAGAGCCTTTATATCCAAACCAACCATAAATTCTGTTTCTGTGGGCGTCACTTTGCAGCCTGTACACACATCAGTTATAAACATACTGCCCTCCTATGGCTGCAGACACACCAGCAGCTTCTTCTCTGCTGCAGATTTGACTCCTGTCTTTTGATTCATTCTTGGTTTATCATGTGACTTTTATTTTGTAATGTAATGGAAAATTCAAATAGAATTATAGATAATAAACGACTTTTAAAAACTTCCACACCTAAATTTAAGGACGTAACGCGTTCGGTGTCAAAGTCTTTGACAGTGACGGGTCCCGTTGGCAGGTGGCTGTCATTGATTTATTGCTTTAATTAAATCCTGGTCTGAACATGTCTTCCTGTCATCCTTCTCTCTTTCTGACAGACAAAAACTAAACGTATTGCTCTTCCTCCTTACAGGGCACCGTCATCATCATTGCCAACCACGGAGATCGGATTGATATTCCAGCTGGCTCCATGCTGGAAAACAAAATCGTATCTGGCAATCTCCGCATCATGGACCACTAGCGCCTTTTTCAACACACACACACACACACACACACACACACACACACACACACACACACACACACACACACACACACACACACAACCCACCCTCATCATGTGACCTAGTTGGCTTTATCCCAGTCATGTGACCTGTTTGTCATGTTTACCCGACACCAACAGATTGTGAAAGGAAGTGTCTTTCCCCTAAAGGCTCTGTGTGATTGCATGTGAATGCTGCTCTGCAGTTTATGGTTGGGAGTGCTTGAAGCTGGGAGATACTGCCCTCTACAGGCTGTTGATCATATGAAATAATAGTATTAATAATGAGCTACTCATAGCTGTTACTTTAAACAATGACCTATAACCATGATAGAAAGACAACACATCAGATTTTATTTTTTATTCTTCATTAACTGTAGGGATGTTGACTGTTTCTTGGCCTGAAAATAAAACCTGCCAAAGTAGACTCAAAACAGATAGGGATACTGTTATGATAATATTAATAGGGATACTAACAGGACTACACAGAAGAACAAACCGGATACTTTTTTCCTCATCTTCATCGTCAGTGTGCTCTTACAGCACTGTGTACTTACACAGAGGGGTAAAGTCACTGTTTCCGAAGTTATGGAAGAGTTTAGACAATTTATTTCAAGCCCAAAGACACCAATTTGTGACTCAACATGGTTCCACAATTCAGCAGGGACAAGAAATGTTCAGCTGAGATAATGTGCAGTGTGGGGGGTGTAGCAGCAAAAGGTGTACTTAGGTCTATTTAACCTGCATTAAATAGTTTTGGGTGGGGGGTGGGGTTGGGGGGTTTAGCCTGTCAACACAATAATGACATATCATCACCTTTCAGTTATGTTTGCAAATACAGACACAGAGCAACATTATCATTCATTTGGAGTTGTGTTTCTGGACACCTGATGCATTTTAGCTCTCTTTTTGGTCTCAACCAGCTCCTGAGGAAAATACAGAATATGCTGCTCAATGATCCAGTATGTTCACCAGCTAGTCGCTGACTTTATGTGCGATTCCATTAATCTGCTTTTATGTACATTTTAAAAAAAAAGATGAAATATAAAGTTTATGGCTGGCTGAGGTGGAAAGGTTGGTGTATCAATAAGAGCAACGTGCAATGGAAAACCAGGGCAGATAAATCATGACACACAGGAAAACAAAAATGTTAACGTTCTTCAAATTAATACATGAAACAAACACAAATGCCATATTTTCCACATGGTTTTCGTTCCACTGCAGAATTAGTGCCAGTGGATGGAAACGGACATTAATTCACTTGGTATTTGCGAAACATGATTTTTGTCTGTGAGTTTGGAGCTGGGCAAGTAGCAAATAGTGGGCTTATCAGGCCTTTTTTGCTGTTAACATCTGCTTCCTGCATCTGAAAATCACGATGATGAGAGCGTTGAGACTAAACCAAAAGAAGGAAACAATGAGCTGAAAGAAGCTACAACTCTAAATCCCCAGATTTGGAGAATTCAGTTCATACTGTATGAATTTGTGGAACCATGCCGTGTCTGTAGAGAAACGTCCATGCTCAGAAATAAAATGCAAACTTTTTTCCGGAGCAATAACAACTGTGACGTCCACAGAGTAGAGCGTAGGATATATTTACTCCTCCAGTGTCCAGGCTAACTGTGTCTATTTGTGCCATAGAGGAGAAACTAACACGTTCCAACCTCTGTCCCCGACTGTTTGGTGCCCTTAAACTTCTCCATGATATTTCTGGATGAGGACTGCAATGATCCATATCCAGGCACGATCACAATGCCATGAAATCACATGTAATAACTGCAGTTATACCGGTACAAAGCGGAGGTCTTTATTTATGATGTAGATGATGAAAAATTTCAACAATGTTGTGCATTATTTTTGTTTTTAATCCAGTATGTTTGATCACATTTTGCCCTTAATGTCGTATGAAACATCATGCCTCCATTTCGGTGTCAAACGTCGCCTCTGTCCACCTCCTCCTTCAGCATTAACTCTTCACACGGAGACAGAAGGTGCGATACTTTCTGCAGATTCAGACGGTTGACGTTTTTTTGAAACATGTACGCAAAGTTTCAGTGTGAGAATACTTGAGACATGTCCGACACGCGCGGTCCAGAAGCCTGAAAGCAATAAGTGTTGATCTGTGACGGTGGCGAGGTCTCAGCCCAGCCCAGTTCTGCCTCCTCAGAGCTGAATAAAGTGCAATATGAAATGAGGAGCATGTGTCGTCTGTTGTGTCTGTGCACCCACAATCGCTTCATTAAAACAAACACCCACTGGTGCTGTCACAAGGGGCAAGAGAGTTAACCAGAGTTATTATAGTTTAGTAGTTTTCATTAGTTTTCATTTTTATTTCGTTTTTGTTTTCAATTCAGTTTTCATTTAGTTTCCACTGTGGGTCTTCTCATTTTAGTATTTGTATTTGTCAGGGGCGAGATTCAGGAAGTTCAGAATAGGTACTACAATACAAACACACAGTCACATCCCAGTCTCAGTAATGCACCAGTGGCTCCCTGTGCTCGGTCTCTTGATAAATCTGACAAAGATATATATATTTTTTATTTTTATTTTATTTTAGTTAACTAAAATGTTGTTTCACAGTTTTAGTTTTAGTTAACTGTAATAACTTTGCTCCACACTTAAAAATCTGGTTAACTACCCTACCTTCGTTCAAGAGCAGCTTTTTTAGACTTAACTACGCTTCAGTAACCTTTCAGTTTTAATATCTGTGTCTGGCAGTTTGACAGCATCCCTTCTCAATAAAATACTCTTCACTTCTCATTGATATTCCCTCTCTTTCATAAAGTAGTCTAGTTGATTGTGTTAGCAGGGCATTAGCCTCACATACCGGCCTATTGATCCTGTTGGTAACATTGTAATAAAAGCTGAATACAGGTTCTTCTGTTTGTTTGCCATTTTGGGAAATACGTTTGCTTTCTTGCAGAGACTCGATTAACAGCTGAGAAATAGTCCTAACACATAACCCTCTGCACAATGGCAAACTGTCGTTTTACAGATTAAAACAACAACATATGACGTGTTGATGAGCTTTAGAGCGGCCGGTAGGCTGATTGTTTTCCCTTTGGAGCCAGGCTAGCTGTTTCCCTCTGTCCTGTTTTCCCCATCTTTGTGCTAAGCTAAGCTAACCTTATGTTGACTTTAACTTCATATTAAATAAACATATATGACATTTCATTTGATCTCAATAATTCCTCCTAAAAATAACAATCCGAAGCGCATCGGTCATTTCAGTGTCTGTGTGTTCAACTGTATGTTTATTGTTTTTATAACCTCGGAAATAAGCACTTTATTTTATTTGATAGACAAACAATGTAAGGCTAAGGAGGAAACAGTAAGTGTTTGAAGTGAAGGAAGGCAGAGAATGTCATCCTTCAGCTTTGGTGAACTTGTGAAGGTTAATTTATTCTGCACACAGAATTGAAGCACGCGTTGAATGTCACACTGGGATCCGTCTCTTGATGTGTCACAAACTATCAGAGCCGCTCGCTGTCAGTTCAAGACCTGCAAACCAGACAGGTGACATGATATTGTGCAGTCGCAGGTTTAACTTTAACTCAGGTATCACACTGCTCTGCACATTAAACAGAAACTCTTTTGTGGTATCTGAAGGCTTATAAATTTAAATTACATTCTGTTATAAGTTCAAATGATACATGTCAACATATGTAGTGTTAGTAGTACATGAGGTTAAATGACTAATTCTTACTATAGAATGTTTATGGCTTTACAATAGCCTCTGGCCTCAACTGTTTGTGGCTTAATCCTCTACTGTTTGTGGTTGAAGGGCCTTTGACCTTTACTTGATAACCCCCACCTCCCCTCATCATCTTAAACATTTGGATTGGAACCAGTTGTTTCTTTTGATCTTTTGGAGTAAAACTGACCTATATAAACCTGTGTTCAAGGTGAATTAGAGAGAGCTGTTCATTCGGCAGGATGCTCTCCAAGCTCCCGGGGCTTGAAATGATGCTGTATCATCAATTCATCTTCACATCATCGCTACTTAATATACCACACTTTCTTAACCATAAACGCTGGACCAAAACAGGTTTGTATCTCCAGGTTTCTGGTGTGTAATAATGTCTAATGTGTGCCAAGTGGAAGCTCTTCGATCGATTTTCAGTTTTATTAATGCAATTATTTTTGAAATACAACTTCAGTTCTCTACATCAAGGGGGGAAAAGACCATTTTCAAACAGAACTTCCCACCCTATCCAACCACAAGAGAGGTTAACCAAAATAGCAAAATGGCTTGCTTAGAAATAAACATAATTCTGACGACACAAAAACATAACCTACATGAGGAAATATTTTCCTGTCTTCTTATATTCATCCTATATGACTTGTTTTCATATGCAGCAGCTTCTCTTTCAATTCCTGAGAAGAAATACTGTCCAATCAGAGTCATTGTCGGGGTCCAGTCCATCACTGACTGTGGAAAAGATACTGTAACTGTAACCTATAACTTTTAAATTAATATTTTTAAGACACGGTGGATTTTGGGGCAGATGAAAACACTCGCTTTTAAGGCCCAGTGTTATAATACCGTTACTTGAAATGTATTGTGGTTATTACAGAGGCTGATTTCAGATCTGGTTAACAAGGTTCAGATTCTTCTACCAGATTTCAAACAACAAACACACAGATATTTACAGCCTGATAATGCGTCATTCACTAAAACATTCACATGTAGAAGATAATACTCACAATCCTGTTATTGATGTCTATCAGAACTACCTGAAGGTTCAGATATTTTCTTTTCTGAAAGAATCTGGAAATGTTTGTTCCAGATGCCTCTTCTCCCGCCCCATTGTTCCCAAGATGGTGTTTGTGGGATCAGGTCAACAGAGACCGCAGTACCCAGGTTTATCATAATGAAGGAACATTTGAGCCGGCACATTCATTGATGTGTTTTAATTGTTTTTGGACAACAATAAGGCCCAGAGGGTTTAAGATGCATCAGATTTTTTTCAGGCAATATTTAAATTCATCTTTGGTGTTGGATCACAAGTTAATTAAGGGATTCAGAATCCTGTTTCTTCATATAATTATCTTTAATTAAATTAATGCTTTCCACTGTTAGGTTTTGCTTACAATCTTTTTGTTTTTCCACTGAAGTCTTTATATTTATTTTATTTATTACAGTGTTGATGTGTTTTTAATAGTTTTTGACAACAATAAGTCTCTATGGCCCAGAGGGTTTAAGATATACCTGTTCAATTCATTAGTGTTGTTTTATGGATCTGTTGACAAAAAGAAAACAAATCACCAATGGTGGAAAGTAACTAAGTACATCTACTCAAATACTGTAGTAAAGTGATTACTTTGAGAGAAATATTTTACTTTTCATTGACACCCTACTTACACACTCAAAATTTTTACTTCTAAAATTAAAATTGTACATACAAAACAAAATATGATCAGTTTATAAAACGTGATCCTTTATTACAGGTTAAAATACCCAAAGTACATAAAGTAGGTACAATTAGCTGCACCTTGACTGACATTTACTATAGCTTACATATTAATATGTCAATAATAATGATCCAATAATATAGTATAACCCTGAGAGTGTTTGTGAGTGGAACATTTAGTTGCTGACATTGATTCTTTTTTACTTCACTGAATATCTCCAGACTAACTTCAGTTGAGTGTTGTAAAAATCTAATCTGTGTGTCCGCGCGTGTGTGTGTGTGTATATGTGAGAGATGGAGCCACGGACGTACACAACAAGGTGTGGTGAGATCTGTAATTATACTCGAAACATCTGTGTAATGAAGACAAACCAGTTCTCTCTGTGGATTTCCAGCTCTCTGCTGGTAGGAGGTTGACACTTTGATGTTACAATATGTGCTGACAACTAACACATATACTGGCAACATACACAACTGCTGACAGTAAGGCAGTTATGCGTATGCACGTTCCTGCTGGGTACACAGACTTTACATTGGGAGGATGTTGTGAAAATAAACTAACTCTTCTAGGATCTGGAGCAAGTTTAGCAAACATAAAACTTCTAAGGATAAAAAAAAATCCATTACACAGTGAAATGTGTCACTTTTACACTTTATTGTTTAAAGTTGTTACAAAAAAAGTGTTTGCTGGAAACATTCTTTGCTTTCGCCTTTACAAGCACAAGGAAACTCCGGACAGGAGAAGAGGACGAGCAAGTGGACGGAGGCAGGACGGACTGACGGATGTGTGTACATGTAGAAACAGGGTTGAGATAACAGTACAGAGACAGAGTGAAGCCCTTACTCACACACTTTATCCACAGAGACAGACACAGCGCCTCAGAGTCCATGAAACAAAACTGGGTGAAGGAGAGGCAAGACACAAAACTTTAAATCCAGAATAGACTTTTTTTTACTTATGAGGTATCCTCAGAAGACCTTAGCAGTGTGTGTGTGTATGTGTGTATGTGTGTATGTGTGTGTGTGTGTGTGTGTGGGTCATTTTTTTTCTCCCTGAGGTGAGTCAGTGTGTTGCAGTCCGAGCACTGGGGTGATGAAAATGATCTGTGTATGGAGAAATACTGTGTGGACAGATGAGCACACACACTGAACACAGCACACATACAATCATCATGAACACATAAATTACAATCTCTCTCTCTCTCTCTCTTACACACACAGACACACACACACACACACACACACACAAACACACTACTGATACCTGCAGAGGCTCTTGTGTTTACTAAAGTTTGGAAGTGACTGATTAGTAAAGCTGCTTCACTGCTGTGAAGTTTCTACAGTTCGAGTGTGTGTCTCGTTCTTGCGCCGTCTGTGGCTGCACGAGTAAAGTGGACGAGCCACGGTGACGCTGCAGGGTGTGTTGTGAGTACGCAGCGGGAGTCTGGGAGAATTTGTGCTTTCATGTAACGTACAAAATATCAGGATTCGTTCTCGGGCTGTGTGTTACTGCAGAGGTAGTGCGAGGGGGCTACTTTATAGTTTTGGTTATTTCTTTGCTTTTTAAATGCTACCTGCAGTCATTGATCTTAAAAACTCTAACAGACATAACAATCTAACCACAAGGTCCATTTAGTAGCTGTACTCTGTAGCTTTTGATCTTATCCCATGATCTTCCTCAGCAAACGTTGCCCAGTTTGTCATGGGCTGTAAATGCTTGGATACTTTAAGGATTTCTGGTTCATTTTTCAAAAGCATAATTGTTATTTACTGATTTTTTTGTGTCTTAGTTTAGAATGCTTTTAACATGTCTAATATTTTGTATTTAAGATGTCCTAAGAGTTGTGGTGGGTTGAGGCCTCGACCATGAATGTCTCTGGTTTGCATCCAACCTTTGTTGTATGTCGTACCCCATCTCCCTCTGCCTTCATTTCTTGTCACCTTTCCCATGATTATCTAATAAAGGCATAAATAAATTATAAAAAAATATATTAAATATATAAAAAAGATTAAAATAAAATCATAGGTACTGGGATTAAAATACTGCTCTCTTTTAAATTGCGGTGTTTATGTAAAATGATCATGTAGGTATATTTAGGCTAAAGTTTAAGTTTGAGTAGAAGTTGACTTTTCTCTCACTGCCTTTTTTGGGGCCTAAATAACAAACAACATGCAGATACCATATTAACCAGAAGACAGCTAAGAGTTTCTTTTTTTGGCCACCTGACAGAATTAATGTATAATTAAACTGTAGACCTTTATTTGTGGTCTATATAGTTTTAAAACACAACTCTAATTACACTGTTTAGAGTTGTGACTTTGATATAAAAGCAATCACAAAGCCCTAGTCTACAACAAACAAAATAAAGAACAAGCAGCCCTGATATTTTGTACTCACATTGTAGAGCTCATCACCCCTAAAATGCTCCATGGGGACCACTTCAGTACACTGTTTGGAAAGCACAATTAATATCAAGCCCTGGTGAGTACACACACACACACACACACACACACACACACACACACACACACACACACACACACACACACACACACACACACACATATCCATAAATAAATAATTGTGTAACTTGAAGCCATGCGTGTGTTTGTGTGCATCAAACCTGAGTCAAACAGCTACAGTTGTCTTTTTCTTAAACGTGTTTTGTTGCTTGCTTCATGCATCAGATGGATGTGACTTCCTGCACTGTTAAAATTCAGGTGAGAGAAAGAGGATGAAAATGACTTCAGCCTGCCCAAAGCCCCCCTTCTCACTCACTATGGCTCAAACAAATCACAACTAGTAGTTAAAGTCCTTCCTGAAGTGTGTCAAAATAAAACACGTAATTTTATTTATGGGCCTCTAATAGGATGCACCTTTACTCATGGATGACAGCGTCTTACAATACTCGCTGGGGTTAAGGTTCCCAATTCATTTAAATGTCTGTTGTCAGGATGTTTTATTAAAACTATTATTTATTTCTCAGCTCAATGTTGAGATTAATACTGATCACAATACTGTATCTGGCAAAATAATGATTATTGATTATGCTGTAGCTGTGCAGGTCAGCCCCAAACAGCACTTTCTGTCATTTCAATAACATGTGTATTCTTATTTTTGTACCATGAGTTTCAGTGTGCTCCACTTTTAATATAATAAAAAGTATTTGACCAGGTCTAGTTAGAGTGTATGTGTGTGTGTGTATGCATGATGTGTGACATTAGCTACATAGCTACAATGTCATGGCTAACCTGTGATCAGAAAAGATTCACTCACCACCAGAAACGTTTCACTCGGACTTTAAAGGGAGGGAGCAGTCACTCTAGCTGTCTGAGCGTTACGCAGACACCAAGAAGACTCAGTTTCCCATAATGCTTTAGGAGGTTTCTGTTCCAAATCTATTGCTTTGAATGTGAAAAGGCCATGGTGATGCCTAATGAGAGTATAACTGAAGGGTTAACACGCAAAGTGAGAGCACGCCAGAGGACGGGGTGTATAAATACGACAAACAGATCTGAGAGGTGAACATGGGGGAAAGACACAGAACGTAACCCTCAGAACACACCTAGAACTTTATATCTGATTAACAATATACTGTATTTTCAAATTAAAATGCTAAATAGTATTGAAGTTAGACATATCTGACAGATAAAGGATGAAGCGATGGTTCCTGGGCCATAAATAAACATCTTAGTTTAAATTAGCTCTAAGAGATGTACACAGATGTATATTGCAACAATAAACATGAATAAAAACCGTATGTTTGCGCCACAGTATGTTCATAATTTTGAAAAATACTGTTGTTGAAAGTTCTTTCCGAGAAACAAACAAAACGTTTACCCAGCAGTGTTCTTTGTTTGGTTTTTGTGTCTCTGGTTTCACATGAAAATATAGAAATCTTTGTTGTCATTCATGAAAAAGCAATACAAAGGTCACTTAAATATGAGAAAGAGACAAAAAGTCCAGAAAAAAGTTTATATCTTAACCGCAGAGGAAAGAAAACAAATCTGGGTTGCTCCCCGTTTTCAATGCAGGGTCAGTGTCCAAACAAAAAATTCCCCGTTCTGCCTCACCCAAAGGATGCTGGGAAGTTGCCCCTGCTAGTCAAGGGGTCCCTGGAAGATGAGTCTGACGTAGCCCTGCTCACCAGTCAGCTGTTGCGCACAGAAGGGGCAGGCGGCGTGGAAGGTGTGTGTGCCGTGTGGCAGAGGAATCTGACTCCAGAAGGCCGCCGTCTTCTCTGAACAAACGTGGCCGCAGGGATTAAAGGCGTGAGTCGGCGGGGCGGCGTCTACGTAAAAGCCAGCCTCGCAGCCCAACCACAGCGGCACGTATGGCCCTTTAGCTCGGCACATGGGACACTCCCTGTGACGGCCCTCCCGGCCCTCCCTCTCCTCGCGGTGGTTGCCCCAGTTGTGGTAGCCGTGCACGTGGCCGCACTGGAGGTAGACCCAGGGCTGCTTCTCGTCCGGCGTGTCCTTGCGACGCATGGAGGGGAAGGCCAGCGTGTTGAAGCCCACGGGACACTGCGGGCGGGCTGCGTTGATCTCCTGACGCAGCGCCTCCAGGTGTTTGAGGGTGGGAGTGCGCGCCAGGCCTTCAGCAGTGCGCCACAGCAAGGTCGCACCGCAAAGGTCAATGAGAGAGCCGTCGACCAGCTCCTGACTCTCAGTTTCCACCTGGAACAGAGAGAAGATGTAGTGATGAGCTGCTGCAGACGACAGCGGTAAAAATATACTCATCAAGATGAAGAAAGAGCCACGTCCTGAACTCATTATGGTGCCAGATGTTATAATCAGGGCTGCAGCCAGGAATACTGAGATCATACCTAATTAATTCATCTGTTCCATTATATTTTTTGAAATTTTGTATTCACTTACATTTCTGTACTAAGCTCATTTCTATGAGTATCCTCTACTCCACCAGGAATAACTGTTGGTTGGTAAAGTTTTTAAATGGTTAGGTGCTAAACATTGTCAAATGGTTAGTTCACTGCATCTATCTGCACCATGAGTAACTTTAAATGATAAAATGTGAACTGCTTCAGGTCAGTTTCCCAGACAAAGTAACAAGGACATGACCTCTGTTTCCCTGGTGGTAGCTACAGCCCTGAGGACACCCACCACAAAACCAGAAAAATGGAAACCATGACTGTCTGGACAAAATGTCAAGTCCATCTACAGTAATAGTTGTTGAGACATTTCCTGACTAACTGACCCATAGTGCCTGCAGCCCCACTGCTGGCTGGGCTAAAAATAACTATAATGCATACAGTGACTTTTCAGTTTATTATTCCAGCTGTACCTCTGTCAGAATACTACAAACAGGACTCACTTATAAAATTAGAATAGCATTAGGGATACAGGTTAAGATTATCTAACAGGTTATGATCTATTATTAAGCTGTTGATTATAATTTTGTTTAATCTTTTAGTGTATGAAAAGACCAGAATGAAAAAGGCCCATCAGTCAGTCCCAAGTGACTTCAAATGTCTTGTTTTGTCCAATAAACAGTCCATGTTCTAATTTATTTGGTGGTTTTCCAAATAAAATAAAATTCTTTACTTGAACTGAAATTATTCATCTCTCACCCAATGCATTCTGGGATAGGCTCCAGCCCCCTATGACACTGATTAGAATAAGCCCTTTAGAGAATGGATGGATGGATGATTTCTTGATGACTGCTTCAATCGTGGAGCACTGTGGATTGTAGCACTCATCTGAGCACAGTAGGTGGCAGTGTAACACTTTTCTATTTGTGCTCAGACAGCTGTGTGAATCAGGGAGGAGGCAGGGGACTGACGGCTGGAGCCAACATGACATGAGGAAATTAAAAGAACGATGACGGGGGGGGGCAGGCAGTGCAGACTTCAGGCTGGGTCAGATTGGACACAGTGGGAAATTCCACATTTAGATAACCAGAGGACAAAGGGAGGGAAAAAAACAGAAGAGGGAAATAAAGCGAAAGCAAGTTTTTAAAAAAGTGACACACAGATGAGGAGCAGGTCTCAGGGTCTCTAGTGAGATCACTCGTTCTAATGCTGGTGTCAAGGTCACTGCGTTTCTCGGGACAAACACATATCATGGGTTATCCTTCATTTATCCCGGGAAGGTTTGCTGAGCACCAGTGTGCTCTTTATGTGTTTCACACTGATACAGTAACACACACATCCACATCTGCCCAGTAAAACCACGGTCTTTCTACTGTTAGCCAACAAGCTGCTCAACTGGAACGGGCAAGAGTTCAGGGTCTCGCTCGAGGGAAACAGTTGTTGTTGTTGTTTTTCCCCCTTGCTCAGATTTTCCCAGCTGTTTTCAAACCAGCAACTTCGGGGTCACAAGGCTGATCCTCATTCATCATTAACCAACAGCCACGTCAATGAAGAGATAAGAATATGGAAAATATGTTTGTCTAATCAATACAATACCAGACTCAATACTAAAGCTTTGAGTGCTCTGGGTCGATTCAGCCCATGTAAACTCTCACACACCCACAGTTACAATTTAATTACACAGAAGCGTATCACTCATCAGCACGAAATCTTATATTAAACACAGCAGGAGCTCAGACACTGTACTCTGCTCATTTATTATACTTCACAACAGCCCCCACAGCAAATACTGTGTGTGTGTGTGTGTGTGTGTGTGTGTGTGTGTGTGTGTGTGTGTGTGTGTGTGTGTGAACTGCGTGTAAAATATTCTTAATTATGCTGGCTTTAACCTTGAGTCCAACTGCAGAAGGGCAAACAGCTGTCCCGCTCGCAAGGTTAAGTGAGTTTGTCCAAAACAGAAATGAACCTGCAGATGATTAATCTTCAACTCACAATAACTTCTAAATATCATCTGCTGTTTACAATAAATTAAATAAATGCAAACTTCCTCTTAAACAAAATTTCCGTATTTTTTATTTATTGTACCAATACAATAAAATAAACTAACATCATCCTTCAAAATGTATCTAAAAACCTCAAATAATTTTCTCTGTGAAAGCATCACGATCAACCCGATTAACAAAAGACTCCACTGAGTCCTGACTCCAGTGTGTGTTCAACATTACAATTAAACCCCATCATGTTCTATCACCGTACATAATGAAAATAGGGACTGTCTAAACTGTCGATCATCTGTGAAATAATGAGTGGATTCTATAGTGGTGGATAATGCACACATGGTTAACCCTCTGGATGGTAAAGGGCAGGTGGAGATAAGAGAGCTGTTAATTTGTGCTGCACTGAAGAGACTTGAAAACGGGTGGGACACCAGATAAAGAGACCGATCGATGTTAGAACTGCTGACACACTGACTGTGTGCTCGAGGCTGATGATGTATATGTTGTATGAGGCAACATGGAGGGGGAATAGAAGAGAAAGAAAAGACCTAATTAAACACACCGCCAACAACCTAAATCCAATCAGAAAAATGCCACAGGTGGCCACGCTGATGTGACAGCGGGACTGTTATGATTGGCTGAGAGGCTCTGACATCAGCTGGAGGATCCCCTTACAAGGTCCCGTTACACACAGCACCTGTTACCATGGACACGGCATCCGGATAACCTCCTGGTGATGTTAAGCTCTGACTGACCTCCCGCTGCCTGAGTGACAGGGTCGGTACGTGAGTGTGAGAGAGTGCGAGTTAGAGTGAGGGAATGGACGAGAAAGAAAGAAACTAACTAACCAGCCTTTTTTTGTGAAAATCAGGTCAGCAGCAGGTTAATCCCAAAACAGTCTGAACACACGCCAAAAGCAGAGCTCTTCAGTAGTAAAATTTGTTTTGAATGTTGCACACTGAACACACCATGTACATTGAATGTGGTGTTCCAGTACATAGTCTGCATCTGTTCTCACCATCTTTCCTCGCTGCTGTGCTGAGCGGGTTTCCCGCAGGGTGAAGACGTTGCCGCAGACTGAAATCTCCCTCCAGACGCCTGGTTTGGAGTCCTGGGTGAAGCCATTTCGAGGGTGCATCACAAGGACGCCGTTGGTGGTCAGCCCATCCATTTGACCATCAGACGTCTTCCACTTAGCAGCCTTCTCCTGAGGAAAACAAAGACATAAGACAATATTATTGTCATTCATATATCAATTATATTGGAACTTGGCCGACTCTCTCAACATTGCCATACATCTGATCTCAACAGGGCGTTGAAGGACAATATAGAAAGGAAAGAGAGTAGTAGGAGGTTCACTCTTCATTTCTGTTTAGCAGCAGCATTTTGTTGTACACACTGAAGACTGATGCCAACATATCCGTATGACATGAGCAAACGTGAAAAAAAGACTGAAAATTAGTCAAGAGTCAGATTCTCTTACTTTTTAGTACCAGAACATAAGCTGTATCGCTCTTCTGTCTCTTTTCTCTGATTTTCCTCTATATTTCTATCACAGTGGTCCTTTGATGCTTTGTCCTTTCATCTTTCTGCCTTTTACTCTCTCACACCCGCCTACACGTGTCTGAAGCACCAGATGAAACACAGCTCACCCCGAGGAAGATGTTCTTGGAGGAGTCAAAGCCTGCGGCATAGATGCGTGCGGTGTAAGGAGGCGTGCGCTGGCACTTGATGCGGCAGGCGAAGCGGGAGATGGTGCTCTGGACCGACTGGGTGTCTGCGTTACTCTGACTGCCTGCCACCGTGTCCGTCACTACAAAGTCTATGGGACTCTCTGTCGATCGACCGATCTGGTTAAAGGAGATGGAAATGTAATATTAAGATTTGTCAACAATGCGTTCCAGCTATAATATAATAATGAGTTTCCTATAGGCAAGCTAGCAAGAGGATAACAGAGAAATAGAGAAATGTCATTAAAATAGTGAATGCAGAATATGTACAATGTGGAATCCATTAAAAATGTGAATGAAATAGGTTAAATAGGTGGATAATGACAACAGTGAGAACAAATATTGCCAGGTTTAGCTAATAGATATAGCCAGGAATATTTGCTAGTCTTTGCTTTATAACTAATGATTTTTTCCTGCATGTGGGTAGATGAATTTGGAGACAGGCTTTAGCTGGTTCACATGCATTGCTAACTTGCATAAAATCCATAATAACCTTGAGGACATTGTGTACTATGATGATGGGTACTTTTCTGCCTCTGACAGCTACTTGAATACCAATAATCACTCTACAGGACAGCCTCCCACAGTGTTAATGCTGTAATCAAGCAAAGGACAGGCGACTTTGAAAAACGAAAAATGTTTAGAATCCAGGAACAAAACCATTTGTCCAAGCTTGACTGAAATGAATAATGTATCACTGATATTATATGTTTTATTCCTTAATAGACAATGAATATCATGTGACATTTGCGTTTTTACTCCATACAGACTTTTATACTTATAGGACGTTATATTTACGCTATTTGAGTTGCAGAAAATAATTTTGCTGCAACTTGCTGTATATCAACATCTTGACAATTTTAAAGGAAGCAAGCATACAATATGCAATTGAATATCCTGACATTGCTGATATTTAAATAATGAATGATTAACAATAAAAATCTAATCAGCTACACTCAAACACAAAGTCTTACACCCCTTGTCGACTCCATCTCAAAAGTTGGAAGTATAATGTTGCCATAGAGCCATTATTTGTTTACATTTTGGCAAACTGGCACTATCAAAAGTATGCTGAACTAGCTATTAGCACTTCCTGTTTGCAGTCCACCCATTCATGTACAGACAACTATCACTGCATCACTTGAAAAAAACTTAAAAATGTGATGATTCTCTGGCAAGTTCTGCATCTTTTTCCTATGATTACTACATGGATTGGACACAGACATCAGAGATACATTAATGATATCATATGGAAGTGTCTGAATATGTGCACCATCTACTGCTGCTGCTCTGGCCACTGACTGTGTTGGTACAGCCACATGCAGACTACAAGACTTGTCAAAACCTCTTAGTTGACATTTTCTTTTCGCAGACTGCTGTGATGTTGATGTGAGGGTGCACAAACTACACTGAGACCAGGAGTACTGATTATTCCACTTGGAGAAAGCTAGTGGAAAAAATAAGGACTGGTTGTAAAACTCCAGTCCTGGTGGTAAAAGCTGAGGCTTGTTACCTGGAACATGTCTGTATTGCTGTCATGGGTGTACTCCACCACCACCGTCTGGGCTCGAGACAGAGTGTAAGAGATGCTGTGCTGGTCTTTGTTGCTTATGGCCTGATGGGACGGAAGACAGAAGGGAAGATGAACACAGAGAAGATAAGAAAATAAGACAAAAAAGTAAAGACCTTTGGATGCCTTTGCTTAAAACGTACACAAGGATTGAACCTGAACATTCTTTACAGGAAAAACACCTCTGACTGATCCTTACATGGAACAATACATACACATAGGAAGGGTGGGGTTGGTGAAGAGTTCAGTTATGTAGTCACTAGCTGCACTTAACACAGCCTTGACATCAGTCAGTCAGGACCACCCAAAGAAGAAGACAATCAGTCTTCAAGATTCTTAAATTACTGCAACTACAAGTCCTGTCACACGTGTGTGTATGTGTGTGTGTGTGTGTGTGTGTGTGTGTGTGTGTGTGTGTGTGTGTGTGTGTGTGTGTGTGTGTGTGTGTGAGTGAGTGGGTGAGAGTACAAAAATCTGTGTCCACAGAGAGTTTGTGAAGTGCAGATGTTAAACCAAAAAAGCACAGGTCCTCTCTCTCTCCCTCTCTCTCTCTCTCTCTCTCTCACACACACACACACACATACACACCATATAATCCCTTGTTCTTTTAACAGATTTTGCAGGATTTCTGGGCGGTCTTATAACTGACAATGGAAACACATGGACATGTGCTTCCCAGGACTTGGCTAGAAAACGCTCAGTTACCCTCCACTGGACTGTTCTCATTTGTTAATCTTATAAACCTTCAGCATGTTCCAGTTAAATGCTGCGTAAAAAAACCATTGTTCAAATACCTTTTAAACCTCGACAAAGACCTGTACCTGCTCGTTTTCCTTTTTCTCCTAACTCAAGGAAGCTTTGCTGAACTCTTTTCCTTACGTGTTTGACGGGGTGCGGGAGTGTGTGTGTGTGGTACTTTAATATCACAGAACAAAAAGCAAACAGAATTTCACAAAAGCCTTTGGTGGAGCAGCACAGGTCAAATCCTCTGAACTGGGTGTGTTTCATTTGATGTTGTCAGTCAAGCAACATAATACACCTACAGATGCATCCTTTTTAAGACAAGGAGAAGAAAATACTATTTTCTCACTGATAAATTTATATCTTTCTCTATGTTATATATGCAATATATTCCATGGAAACTGTAAACTCTTAAAATATAAATCACCATGTAAAGAAGAAAAGGACTGAAACTGCTGATGTGTAGGGTTTCGATGACTGCAATTGTGTGATCTCTGGGATGACTAAATTATACTGTATTGCGTGTTTCACCTTGGCTGCCTGTGGAGAGCAGGCGACGTGAACTGTGCTGGGTTTCACCCCATTTGCCTTCGGTCTCTTACAGAGTGCAAAGCGGCTTTTACGTCGGCCTCGGTCTCCGTTGGGCAGAGAGCCATTGTACCTGCACATACACACACACACACACACACACACACACACACACACACACACACACACACACACACACACACACAAACACACACACAAACATACAGAAAACAATAGGGTATTATTGTCTGAGCAGCTGTATAATACACTGAAAAAACAGTCCTTGTGGAAAATGCTTGGGGCATTTTGGTGCACTCCTCCCCATGCCCCTAAGACCATGTATGCACACACACACACGTACAAATAGCAGCCTATATTTTTCATACATGCTTTTTATTCTACAAAAGCACATCAGGTCCCATAAACAACAAAGTCCTCCAAACATAACCCCCAGAAAGGCTGAGAAAATAAACACACAAAGAAACTCATTTAACTGATCCACGGCAGAGGAAAGGAGAATAAACAGAGGCGTTCCCTCCAACAGAATGGAGTCTCTGTGACTCCTGACAACACTGTGACTGTGCTGTTGTGTCTCTGAGTGTGTGTGTCTTTATTAACATCCTACAGTTAAAAATAAAACATTTAGAAAACATTCATCATCTCCATCTACCATTCAGTATATCAACATGTGTTTCTGAGAACTGACTGTCTGCAGCTGATCCATTATAGTGCTTATATACCGGGGTAACATGGAAGAATAGGGGTTCATCCCTCCCAAAAATGTAGTATTAATAAAAATCAAGATATCCCTTTCAACACAACAGAAGGTCCTCATTGACAACAATAATATAAACAGCATTATTGAGTCATTAGCAAAGGCTAAATTAGTGTATAGATATAGAAATGAAATGAAAACACTGGATGAAGGAATAAAGTGCACATTTGCTATAGCAGTCAATGACTTAAACACTGTAGCTGTACTTTGGGTTTTCAGGTATTAACATATATGAAGAACATCAGTTGACATTCTCTGAATATACCAAGGTTACACAAAGTTTTATTCTCTATGGCACACACATGTTTTGGATAAGCTATTACCAGTGTGAAGTGATATTCCTGCTAACAGAACCACAGCTTTATAAACGTTACCACACGCATAAACACTGCTCGCTACTTTAACACTGTTATGACATCCAGAGGCCAAATAAGTTATGTACTCCTCGGGCTTCACTGATATACTGCAACTATACACCACTGCATAAATGCAACGTGATATGATTCAATTGATTCCTACAGCTTTTTGTTTAGCTATGAATTTATCAGTTTTCAGCTAATGTTTATTATTATTCTTTTACTATTTTTTAAAAAGTCAGTAATTCCAACTGTTTTAATCGTCTCATGATAAGGTTTTATTCTTTTAAAAAGTTACTAAATCTCAACAAAGATGACATTAAATACTTTGGCTAAGGATAAGTCCGCAAGAAAATAAAACAAATACAAAAATAAAAATGTCTTGATGCTGAATTTTACATTTTCAGAATTTTTTTTGAAGATGTACACAAAAGTAGGAACCCAGTGAGAAACAAATACTGGACAAAACAGTGTCAAAAACGCAGTAATCAAGAGTTCATTGTTTTCAACCAGGATTGTAGATGCATGTGTAATGTCTGAAAAGCTTTCTTTAAAGAAGTAAATGTGAATAAGAAAGAACAAGAGAAAATGCTGTGACTACATTGGTACAGCAGATGTAGCCATGCTGTTTAGGACCTCAGCACAGTTGGAACGTGTCTTTGACCAATCAGACTCTTGCAATGAAACCACCCATTGTACTGAGTCCAGCAAAGACGGCACAGACAGGTTGTAAGGACGCCCAGCCTGCAGCAAAATGTTTGTATGAGAGAGATCCGCTGGGATCAAACGGTGCTGGGAGGGTTTATGAGTAACCATGGTGAGAGAACAGAGCCACAGCAACGTTTGGGAAGAGTAACCATGGCAAGAGCGTAACTATGGTGAAGTTTAGCCCATATCCGAGGAGAGGGCAGGGCAGTCTGCTGGAGAAAGAAAGTGTTGCTGGCAGTTCAAGCCCAGGTTCCCATGGGTAGCAGTAATGTGTCAGTGTACATACATGTCCCCAAATATTCTCAAAACAATGGCTAACAAAGGTTAGCAACAAGTTAGTGTGTGTTAATGTGTGTGTGCATATAAATGGTTGTTCATACAGTGTGAGGCAGGAAGAAGCAGAGTTAGGAAAAAGTTAGTCTGTATACGTGCAAACACATACTGTACTCTTCGGTTCTCACAATAAGCAAGCAAGTGTATGTGTGTGTGTGTGTGTGTGTGTGTGTGTGTGTGTGTGTGTGTGTGTGTGTGTGTGCGCGCGTGTGTTTTCCCTCCAAACACTAGCAAACTAAAGCTTGATGTGCAGCAACAAGCTACTATTTATATAGTAAACCTATAAAAACATAAAGACAGGTTGTGTGCGTAATTACTGCTTATGACTAAGTCACTCTGCGTCTCTGTTTACATGTGTTAACATTACAAGGTTAATAAACTAAAGGCAGAGGCTGCCAAATATATCGAAGTTTATTTTTTTTAAATGTGAAGTGCATAAAAACATATAAGTTAAAAAGTAGATATTAAATGACAAAATAGATTTTAAAATGTGCCAAACCAAATATACACGGAGTGGAAGGAAAAGTGAGCGAATATTTCTCTCAGTTAGCTTGATGTCCATGTGTGAATATTATACTGTCTTAAAAATGAATGATATTCTGCCAATGCAACACAGCTGCACTGCTGTAAAGCCTGGGACACTGCAGTTGAGTTTAATGGCATATGGCGTGAGATTCAACCCACACACGAAAAATGCTTTGCATAAACATGTATGTGGACACACAATTATTATGTTAAGACTTATAAAGACAGACAGAGGTGGATTTGGAGGGACTACAATGTATCCAGTGACATCACAGTTGTTTAAAAAGCCACATGGATGTCCAGTATGCCTGTAAACAGTTCGTCTCCAGAGATGCTGCAGCATTCCACTGGATTAGGCCATTAGCATCGCTGGGCTTCAAACATGGAAATGTTGGACTGGGGTTAGCGAGGAGGTCAGACACGACACTGTGTTATGTGTTGATGGGGTTCTCCATTAGTAATTTCATGTGCAAGTCTGTTCTTAGTCAAACAGGATTGTCAATTAAATCCAAGCACTTGTTTCAGCCTTCTGGGAGAACCAGATGGGTGGACTTTACTGCAGCTGAGACATTTAGTTGGCACAATCATGTTCTGTACTGACTCATAAGTAATTTACCACAATTGTCTTTCACTTAGTAAAACTAACAAAATACGTATAATTGCTGCATACAGAAAGCAGATTTACAGGTGGGGTCAGTCATTCTGGAGAAAGACAGTTGATTGTTGATTCTCAAATAGCAACACTTTGGGTTATGGTAAATGGGAAACAAACTCATTGGCTTGGAGCGAGCAACACAACAAAACAGTTTGAGTTTGTGCTCCAAGGTCATCAAATACCGACGCTTAGGGCGGCCAAAGTAAAGTAAAAGTAAAGAATTGTTACGAACATCATCAGTATTAGTAACAGTTTTTGTCCTCCACTACACTTGTTGACAGTTTAGCTGGCACTCTTTTCAAGGGTTAGTCTGGTTTTTAGACATATCTATAAATCTTTGCACTGTGCATGTACACAAGGACACACACAAATGAAACAAACGTGATACACATTCCTGCCGCTGGTTTTACTTCACTCCGCTGAATTACCATTCTGCTGTGGTAATGCGCAAAGAACCATAGCAATGTGCAAACAAAGACAAGGAAAAGGAAGACTGCAAGCTAGCTAACATACATTTAAATCATGCACAATTTAAAATATTGGAAAGAAATAGCAACAGCAATAGCAAATAGGAACTTAAAACATTTGTCTGGTCTCAGAATATATACAGTACATTTTGGTGAGAAACACTGAATGTATTCACAACTTTTGTTTGTTTATAAGAAAACTCCACAGAGCACCTTTAAGTCAGTGTCACAGCACAATTTAGCTCCTCCTAGAGCAAAGTAAGAAGCTTTCTTTCCATTTAGCAATGAGTAAACTTAACTTTAAGGGCATCCTTATTCAGTCTTGAGCAGCCTGTTGCTAATGTAATAGGTTAATTGGAACAGATGTCACTGTTTAAGATTCTGCTCTAAAGCCATGTTTTGTGTGTGACTGGGGGAACAGACCATCCTATGTTGTCATGGCCCTATGTGGCTTTTATACTGTATAAATCACAGGTTATTGATAGTAAGTGTCACAGTGATGGATTCATTTCTGGTGTAGGTCAGAAGACAGAGCAGTGTACTAAAGCTAGGGTTAGAGGCCACACACGAAACAAACTGTAATGTGCATTAAAGTGTTCACTAAACCTAGAGCAGCCTTACTTGCAGTACAGTGTGTGACTACTCATGTCAGCCAGCAAAAAGTGCCCCTATTGACCTTGTAAAGAAGGGTGGCCTGACCTAGAATGAAAAACTAGGAGCGGAAAAAGAAGAGGAAAGCGGAAAACTGGGGTTCTCCCTTGTAAAGGCATGGAACTGCGTTTTCTGCTCACTGTGGTTTTTCCACTAGGGAAAATTTCCACGGTCATCTCCCTGACAATACCGCTCCAGCACAACCCAGAACAACAAACTGTGAGTCAGCTGTGAAACCAACTGTGAGTGTGTATCTGTGTGTTGTACGTGCACAAGAAAGTGTGTGCGTGTCGGTATGTGCATGTAAGGAGTCTTTCCGACATCTGCATTCCTCTGTGGTGGGCTTGGACGGGGAGTGGAGTGGAATAGCCCTTTGGGGAATAAACAGGAGATAGACAGATAGAGGAAGTCCTTCATTGTCAGTTGTTATTGGAGAAAGTGTGTGTAGTTAAATGTCTTCTATGTTGAAGATGCAGGGTGGGGTGGAGGGTTTTTCCTACAGCTGAGTATGTGGACTTTGAAACACATCTCCGGAGGGTGCGACAGCCAAGGTGATGAGTATCCGGTGCTGCTTCTGGCCAAAATTTATCTCATATTGTAATATATCAAGTAATGTGCTTCATCACATGTTCCAAAAATTCTAAATTCAAACACTATCTTTGTGTACTCTCAGTGCATTACCCTGTGAAACTGGACAATAATATCTCTATTGTTTATGCTGTTTTCTGGAGGAGCATTCGATATCTACAATTTAACTGATGAATCAAAGTTCTTCTAAATCCTTACTGTACATTCCCTCGGGACACTTGGTCTTTCACCACAACAACAGCTCTTTTTCTCCTCATCACCACTATTTACATGGTTACAAGTTATTATTATCTCTAACTATAATGTGCCATCATTGGCACATAGTGTAAACAAAAGAACAATACAAAGTCACATCAACACATTATGGCAGTAATTTAGGCTTTACTGTGCTTTAAAGGAGCCCTGTGTAGTTTTCTGGAAACAAACATAAATTATTTTTATATTTACAAAATGAATGTTAAAGACGCACTTTTATGGAGAATTGGGTTTTCACCAGTCTTCGTTATATACATCACAAGAACTCAAGAACGGGTAGGTCACATTTTGTGCTGAGTGAATTCATTCATCAAACACTGGAGTGTTAGAACAGCAAACAACTTGGACCAATACATCCAACCATTATTAGCCATGACTCATAGCTCCAACAACAATAATATAGTCATTCTTGGTCAATCATCAAACTACACAACATAAAGTACATAGGAAAAGAAACTGAAGATATCAACAAACTTAAACCTGCCATCTCTGAGTGCAAACATGACGTGAACACAACATTGACATATCTTCACCTTTTCCAGTGGATATGGCGAGCATATTAGCAAACAGCTTTTTATTTACATATTAAGCAGTTACCTTTATCAACATTATCATTTATATGGAGTCTTGTTTCTGGCCACCTGATGAATGTAAGTTCAATACCCACTCCTTTTTAGCTTTTTTACTGGTCTCCTGAGAGAAACATCTGTCTCTTTAGCTGCTAAATGGTTTGCTATGTTCACCAGCTAGTCGCTACTGCGTCTGCCAGCTGGTTGGTGTTGAGCAGGTAGTGTACACTCGGCCTTTAGAATTCTTTCACCAAAACAGCTGCCTGCTGCGTTTGAAAAAGATGCTGTGAGAGATGTGAGAGTGAACCGTAACAGTAAAGAAGCGGGCCAGAGCTGAGTTTCACTATAAAGCTCCATAAAGCCAATGGGAGACACAGGTTCGAGTGATACCTCTCTGTAGGTTCATCACTACGAGCAACCCCTTTCACATTGTCATGTTTTTTTCACATTGTCTTTTGATATACGTTTTAATGTATATATGAATTATAGCTGCTTTAATATAAATGTCCTTCAGAATCTATTTTTGACATTTAAAGAGATCTTATGGTCATTTCATTATCAACTATTTGATTTGCCAACAGTACCTTGAACTTACATCTTATTTAGACCATAGTTTTAGTGTCAGCGAACAAAAGTTGTAATGTCCACAAATTCAGTCATAAAAGAATAGAAAAGAGTTCTGTTTTGGATGTAAAGATGAAAGGATGTATCTGTAATTAGCTGTTCCTTACCCCAGCACAATGAGCTCTCCATACTTCACTGGCACTTTGGTGGAGGCGGTGGTGGAGATGTTTTCCTGCTCCGGGGAGTACATTGGGCACGGCTGATTGAGGTTTGGAGGAGAAGGGGAAGCAAGATGGGTGAGATCCAACCGGGCGAGGGAGACAGGAAGGGGAAAGGAGGGGAAGAGAGGGGGAAGGTGCCAATCAAATGAAGGATGGGGGAAAGGAGGAGAAGGAAGGGGAAGGGTCAGCTGAGCCTCAGCTCCACCCTCTCATGCTTCATGTGTCCGTCTCTGACAGCACCACTTGTCCTGCCCTGCAAAGTGACAACGAAAGGATTAACACAAAGATTAGTGTTTTTACTTTGTCCCCCTGATTCAAATGCAATTCTACCAACAACAAAAACACGACAACAAAAATCATGCTAGCTTTTTTTACCTCCTAAAAACCTTCCTCTAGGGTTGCAACGATAAGAGATTTTCATAGTATGATAATCTCCTCAGAAAATAGCAGTTTCACAGTATATGGTATTACACAATTATTATTATCATCAGCTACAATGGCTGTCTTTCTGTCTGAACACCTGCTAAGGACAGGACATAGGACTTAGTTGGTCAAAAGCAGGTGTCCTGCTTTTCCATAGGTGGGAAGCCAGTGAGTAATAAAAAAGATTTGTCACTACTAGAAACTGAAACTGGTTGGTCAGGGGGCTTTCATTGGGAGGGATAGGACCTCTAGGACATTATGAATTCACTACACCGCCCCGGTGAAGCTCCTCACTGACAGATCAACTACTTCCCCAGGTCAACTACGGAATTTGCAGTGACAAGAAGGACCACAGTACAGTAGGAAAATAAAACTATCCCTTTAAACCCTACGTAGACTAATTTTAGCCAAGATATTTGGATCCATTTTAAATTGCTCCGTAGGTAAAAATGTAAAGTACATCCCAAACACTGCAACCTCCCAAGATTTTATTGCAAAGTTTAAAATAAAAAGGCTTTCATCAGAACACCAGGGACATGACTAAGGTCGGAAGTTCATGTGACTTATTCTTCTTGCTGATTGAGGTGGGTGTCTGTAAATGCTGACTTCAGAGAATGACTCAAACACACATACGCACAGCTTTCTAAATGCACAGGAAATCACAGTGAGGAACAGAGAAAGAAAGCATGTGTGAGAAAATAAGGCATGAGAAAAAGGAGAGGATGGACTTCCTGTTACAACAAGCTAGGAGGACCTTCACTCTCAACATTATGTGTTTATGTTTTACTCAGGACCTTTCCTGTATTTCCTCCCCTCATTCGCTTGACAACAATATCAATATGCTAAAATATCTTTCGAAACAAGAGCAGAATAGAAACAACAACATCACTGCACTTCCAGGCAGCCATCCTTATATGAAGGAGGAGGACAATATTTCTCCTACAATTCCCAGAGTGCCTTTCTGGAAGAGAATGCAAAACCACACATGAATAAAGCATAGGAAGTAAAGTGTTTTGATGATGAGTGGGGGCAGGGGGCTTTGTTCCTAAACACTCTAACTGAGCACTGAAGAGCATAGAGGCTGATTGAGTCCCATCAGACTGAGTGGGAGAAGTTCATACACAGGCCTTCCAAGTAAATATTTCAGACATAATGTCAGACAGAAGCAATATTCAGTAGGGACGAAGACAATGTTTGTATGAGGCATGTGTGAGGCATCAAAAATGGACGCTGTATTTCAATAAGACATATAAGATAAGATATTCCTTTATTTGTCCCACAATGGGGAAATTCCACGATGAGTGATTGCTCATGGAAATGTCATCAAAACTAGCTGAACGTTTGAGTGCATCATCAGTCATCCCCTTCAACTCATTTAATTGATGGCAAATGTCCCATGTGAACACGACATAACATGTATCGTGATTCCTGTTTCAAACTTTTACTAGATGTCTTCTAAGTGTCTAGAAAAAACTTGGAAAAACTCCCCCTAACAAACTGAAATCATTTTATCACCAGTGACAACGTTAGCTTAGCACAGAGACTAAAACCTCTTAGCCTGGCTCTGTCTAATAATGTCGTTGTGATGATGTTAGAGCCAAACTCCTGGTGTCTTCTTAGCTAGAATTGTTGCTGTCTAACAACTCGTGTTTGCTCCTCTTTGCTATTACAGAGAGATTACATGTAAACGCTAGTGCATCCCCTACGACTCACCCACAGACTCACCTATTTTTTCAGACTGTGAAGTTTAGCTTATGTTTATTAAGGGTCACTGAAAACTGAATGTTATCATATTATCAACCTTATCTTAACATATGGAGAGAACCACACAACACGCTGATGAGTAAGGTTGTGTTCCAAGGCTGGAATTAGTTATTAGAAGTAGTTAATAATTTCAGTAGTTACACTATTAAAAATATCAATAGGATTTTGAATGAGGTTTAAAGTGAAGTTCTGGTTTCACTTTGGCTCTTATGACAGTGGTATAAATCTTTGCCGCTAGCTCCACGCCACAAAATGAATAAATATATCTCCCAAAATGTCAAACTATAAGAATTATAACTATTGTTTTGATGATTATTTGATGATGATGATCTGTAATATAACCTGCATGAAACAATATGCACAGTGCAATGCTCTGTAGAAATAAACACAATACTGTCTAATATCAGTATGTGTTTCCTCTACTCCTACAACACTTGGTGCCAATCTTTCTGACCAGTCTGTCAGTCACACCTCCCGCCCACACACTCAGTGGATTTCTATAAGGGGGGCAACCTCATGATACTGTAGGTATATACACACAAAAGTTCCCACTTAGAAACAGGAAGTCAGAGGTTGTTTACACTATCACAGCTTCGCCTAAGGATTGACCAGTTATGATACACTGTGGTCGATGGTGGAGTTTCCAACTTTGGTCTTGGTGCAGCTACAAAGTCTTTACTTACAAATTATCTGATGAGGGAAAAGCTGACAATAGCACAGAACACTTTTCACTGAACACAACTGATCTCGATCCTTTGAAAGTTGTAAAAAAAAAAAAATTGACAGTGAGGAGATGAGGATAAATTGGTTATCCACACACCAACCACACATGACAGATTTTTCTGATAATAGGTGAAAAGTCACATACCCTTATTCACCCTTATTTAGGAGCTTATTTAGGTTTGAGTGGCCTGTTTTAAGCCCTACCTACCAATTGAAAAACCTACCGGCTCATGTATCTTAACAAACCGTTTCGCAGCCTCACACTTAAAGAAGTAACACTTTGCTCCCAAAGTGTTACATTGTGTTAACAATACATCTATATTCAGTGTATCACACATCAGTATAACTGTGAACTGTTCAACAGCTTCATCAATACAGACAGAAACCACATCAAGGTTCAGCACATTTGGGTTGGAAAGGTTGACAGCAGAAGGTGAGGTTTTTTAATTCTGGATGGAGGCAATAAAACAAAAGGAAAATGGAGGACCTGAAAGAGTGTGCAAGAAGAAGGGGGAGGTAAAGAAGGGTCCAGTAAAACTGGATGTGAGCCTGAGCCCCACCTGCTTCACTGACAGAAGGGGTTAATCCCACATACTCACACACACACTTATATACAGTATTGTCAGTGCATACTAAAACACTATGCTCTGAACTGTGTGCATAAATTTAGTAGTGTCGAGGGAGCTGTTGACTGACTTGCCAGGAACTGATTTTTACCTATGGATCCAGACACAGGAGGACCAAACCAAGTATAGGTCTTAGTGCGGTGGGTCCTGTTATTGAACACATGTCCAGAGTGCTGAATTATCTTTCTGTCTCAACTCTACTGTTATCAAAAAAACAGCAGCCACCCAGAGTCTCGCTCATTGTTCAATCACAAACAGTCTTCCTTCTTGCTTTCTCCTGTGTAGCTCAAGGAAACCAACTCAACCAGCCTAGTCTCCCTGGAAATAATGTCCATACTTGACTATTCTGTGGTGCAGCATCATTTCTGCAAAGCAGCCAAAAGTATGGTGAAGAGTTTGGGGTAGTGCATGGAAATGCTCAACATTAGGCTTAAACATCAGAGACTGGGATTTCCATCAAACTAATGATGTTTCCTTTAATATTTAAAGCCCCACTAACCGACATTGTATGTTAATAATAATGACCGGTCGAGCTTTATTTTCTTTAATTCAACCTTTCTCTACTTAATTCACTTGGGCTATGCTGTTAAACAACCCATGTCAATAGTTTAAATGAGGAAAACATGCATTTTGCCTTTCAATTTTGTTGATGATCAAAATGACTGAGGAATTAGCTCAAAATTGGCATCCCTAGAACAAATATGCTATATGTTGGGGCGTGTATGTATTTTGTGTGTTTGTGTGTGTGTGTCTGACTAAGCTGTCTGCCTCTGCAACTGTGCATGACACAGAGCTCAGTGTGGCTGCATGCCAACTGCTGCTTAGCTACCGACACACACAGTCCTACAACAATAGATCTAGAGCTCAGTGAGACTGATTTTGCTGGCTGGAGTCAGGGATTGTAACAGTGTGCTGCTGACAGCAGGAACACCAGCCTCACACTTACAAAGAGCCTCATAAAACTTAACTGCAAGGAGGCACAGATGACACCTGCCATTCCCACTGGCTGCCAACAGAGAAAAACACATGACAAACAAACGTAGATGCACACAGACAAGGCAAACCTACACACGTGTGTATGTTAATAGGAAAGCAGGCTAACAGCTGCACTTCTCCTTTTGAATGTATTGCCAGCTGAGCCGCAGAGCAACATGTCAAACTGTCCTGTTTAGCATACATGTATGCCTAAGGGCAACACATAAGCATGCACAGGGAAACAAAGCCTGCATCAATCGACCATGTCACACCCACAGTTAACGGCGTTCTCTGACGGATTTGAGTCCAGCACAACGCTTTGATATAGAGTTAAAAGTTGTGTAATGTTTGAAAAAGGCAGGGGTGGAATCACAAGTCAAAGGGTGACACACTTTCAGGATCACAAGGCATGGCTCTGTGGAAACAAACAACTTAACCAGAGGCAGTGTTTCTCGACTGGCAGGTCAGGAACCAAAAATGGGTCAGAAGATACTCAAGCAGAGTCACGGTCAAAGATGAACTCAAAGAGGGAGCGACAGTATGCTGTTAACTAATCTGCTAAGTCTACTGCATAACCAAGGTAAAAGATAGGTCCTGATACATAACCACGGACACTAAGACCTTAAGGCTTAAGCTATTGGCTCATGTGATAACAAGCCCCATACTTGACACATACATAAGACTGCTAATATATGCTGATAGGATAATTAATACTTAACCATGTTTTCCCACTTTTTGAACA